GAGTATCCTTCATCTTTCATCCCTGTGGCAATTTCCTCCCACATGGTTTTCTTCTTCATCAAACCTTTCTTAATTTTCTCTTGATATGTTTTGTATTTGGTTATTAGAAGTAAGGTACTAGAGCGTGTCCAAGACATACCTATATCCGCAGGACTGCATGAGGCAACTTTACTCTCCTTTTCATCTCCTAGAAAACATTAAAATTAATAAATATATACTTTCAATGCTTAACATTTAAAAAAAATACATGTTAGACACAACCTGTTACATGTATTTATTTATGGTGTTTATTCCAGAATATGAAGATCATATACTATATAGAATTACTTCTTTTGAGTAACAGTTTCAATATTTTTCTCTTGATGTGAAATATATCTACTCCTATGTAATTAGTACAAAATTAGTTACTACTTATTATGGGAGGAGGAAATATTAATCTCTTGAAAGTGCAACCTCCCAGGTATACTAATCTGTAAAATTTTTAACTTTAACATTAATTACCTGATGATGGTGTCCCTGCTAGTGGTTTCTGACATATGTGCTCAGACATCAACTCCATGTCGTTGAAGTTGTGGCACTGGGTTACCGTGCGTTTTTTCATTTGACTTTCGGCATTAATTTCATGTGCTGTTTGTTTTGTCACAAGGATGGAATTATTTTCTCCGCCTAAATGAGAAAAAATATCTTTTATACTAATAGTATACATTAATATCAAAGTACATACTGCTGCATTGCAAATTATAAAACTCAATTGCAAAAGATATAAATAGCAGAATTAAAAAGGGGGAGGGGTGCTAAAAGGTAAACCTTCATTTAGTTAATACCATTTGGATATGCTTTCAAAAAGACGAGGAGATTCGAAAAAAGATCGCCACTGTGATCGACCCCTTTCCCTACTATTACAATTTTTACTTGTCCTTTTTAATACACTTTTTTCCTCGTAAATATGTCATTTTTTAGGTTTGTACCCCCCCCCCCCACTTTCCCTTTAAAAATCTAAGATTTTCTTGACCCATCTTGGGCCTTTATGATGGCTAATAAGGTGCGCACTAAATATCCCTATAAATTTAAGTTTCTAAATAAGCATTTGCAGTAAAACGTATACACAGTAACAAAACTCACTTGATTCCGTTGTGCATCTATGCATTTTAACATCATCTAAGCTGGAAAAGTACAAATTGCAGTCTTCACATTGATAAAGCACGTTTTTCTCCGCCATTTTTGTTACGTAATAATTCCCGCTGCACCACCTCTTTAGAAAGAACAGAGAGAATCCGTCCGGAATCGGATTCCAAATCGTTCCATTGCAATTCTACGCGTTCTGGACTTTCGGAAGCGTGAAAGGAACGCACCCAGAGTGTCAGTCCAGTATGCAACAGGAGGGACAACCCAAGAAAGCAAATTATGATCGATACCTTCAAAACACTACTAATATATTAATGCAATGGAATTTTTTGAAATTATAGTATTTTCCCCCTTTTTATCGGTCGCAGGGGCGGCCGATCTATCAGTGGTTGTGTTTGAAAGTGCACACGGGAAAAGTATACGTTATTTTATAATAGTTCGATAGAGAACAATACATTTACAAAATTAAAAAAAAAATATATGAGTAAAATTTTTCAAAAAATTGATTAAACTAAGTATTAATTGTCATTATTTTGTTTCAATTTTATTTTCATTTCTCACCAGATAATTAATACTTACTTAGATTTTATTAAAAGGGTGTAGAGTATGTAATTTAGATGTGAACGCATATCTTTATGAGATTCCAGATACAAATGCCAAAAGTGTATAAATAAAAATAGAAAAGTTGGTAGAACTAGTAATTTTGATTTTGTTTTGAATATGCCATAGTTGCAAATGAAATAACAACTACACTTTGAATTGTTGTCCATCACTTTGCCATGCATGCATAGTCTGCAGAAATGATCGGCATCATCCAGGGTATTATCATCAAGTTTTATCCTCTTGGTCATCTGGAGATCTGATTATAAATTTTGGGTATATATTTTCATTTTGATGATAATACTTTCTTTTCATAAGTACCGATTATTACTAGTATAGCGACGAATTACATCTACACTCGAACTCGCTTACATTGAACTCTCTTTATTTGAAAAATCGGTTAGATTGAAATGTATTCGGTTTCCCCTGAAAAACTGGTACGATTTCTTTTTTTTTTCTTTTTTTTAAATACGCGTTGTAATTTGTTTTGATTAACAAATGCACTGAAAACTGAAGTGGTACCTGTCATTTATGTTTATCTTGAAAATAACTGTTTTTCTTCTCTCTTATTGGGGTGTTCCTGAGTATTTGAGTAATATTGTCCTCAACAAGCATGGAAACGTATCAAAATATAATACCCGTAATAAAGAACAGTTTTTTGTTCCAAGATTAGAAGTATACAAAAGGTTCTTTGTACCAGATGCTGCGAAAAGTGGAATTTATTAAAAGTAGAAGCGAGAGAAGCCATCTCAATTAATTCATTCCGTAAAAACTTATGTACTATTACAAAAGTCAGCAATCCGCCAACATATTTTTCTTTTGGTAAACGCTATACAAACATAATTCATACCAAACTAAGACACAATTGTTTTACTTAATTATGATCTTTATCAAACGTAATATTATCAATAATCCTTTTTGTTCATGTGGTAAACACGAAGATGTTTATCATTTCTTTTTTGCATGTAAAAATTATACAAATGCTAGAAATAAGCTTTTTAACCGCCTGTTTTTGCTTGACGAGTTGGTCAATATTGACACAAATTTGTTACTGCGGGGTGACACAGATTTGTCTCTACAAACTAATCGCACAATTTTTGCTGCTGTGCATAAATTTATTGATGAAACCGAGGAGATGGCGCAAGGGCAATAACTCGTATTATATCATGTTTTGTTTTGTGAAGACCCCCCCCCCCCCCTCAAAAAACCAAAACAAAACAACAAACAAACCCAAAAAAAAAACACAAACCAACAAACCAAAACAAACAAACCAAAAATAAATAAATAAATAGGAAAAAAACCCAGCATGCTATTCAGGGTTGGTTCACAGATGCTTTGGGACGCCCCCCCCCCCCTTTCCCCCCGGTACCCAAGGGTTTTTCTGCTTTTGTATATACATATAGTACTAAAACATTTTTCTATGACACATTCACAAAGTATTGCAATTACATGTATATCCTAAAACTTACCTTTTATAAAAAATCACATTCTGCATGTTACTTATAATTTTCTTTTAGTATCAGAGAGTGTGAATTTTTATAAAGCTTAGTTTTAGGTTATATTTTGAATTTTTATGCCCCCGGATCGAAAGATTCCGGCGGTATATTGTTTTTGTCCTGTCTGTCTGTTTGTCTGTCTGTCTGTTTTCAACTTTAACCTAGCCCATAACTATTGCGCTTTCAAGGGTGAGGCTTTAATAAAATTATTTGACATGAGTGTTATGCAAGACCTTTCCATTGGTACAGAAATTTTTGATCATGTGACCTTTGACCTACATTTGAAAAACTTAAACATTGGCCATAACTATTGCACTGTAGTCTACGTCCCACTCCAGAATTGTGTTACCATCGGGGGCATAGTGTTTCACAAACACATCTTGTTCAATTGTAAATTCTGTGTGAGTGTATCATAGAAAAATGTTTTATATAAAAAATAAGTTGAAGAACCCTTGGGGTACGGAACACGTGGGTGGAGAGTCCCGTTCCCAAGCACCTGTGGGTTGGTTCAAGTTGTCTGTGTTTGGGAGGAAGAACTTTTAAGTATATCAAAGTACATCAAATATACTTATTTTCCTGAATTCTATTTACAAATTCCATATGACCTAAAATTTATGCGTATGCCAATAAAACTTTTTTTTAATCAAGCTTGCTTTATCATTTGTTTAGTTACGTAGCGTTATTAAAAAAGAGAATGAGCAGTTGAGAGTTTTAAAATCTGAAAATCTTAAGAACCCTATCTACACTGCATACTTAAGAGTTCTGATTCGGTGTTATTTTTAATGCAGTAAGAGTAATCTGCCGCTAGATCTAAATAAGAGAAATTTAAATCTAAGGGTTTTACTCAATCCGTAATCAATTCAAGCATTTTAAACATTTTATTAGGTCCAGATAAATTAACTGGACACTTTATTTGCATGTAAAAGCATCCTCACAAGTAAGCAACAGTGATTTCTGATCATAAATATACTTTACCATCTTTGAACATTTTCACCTGGGGGTAAATGTCAGGTACCCTATGTTGAAAATTAAATAGATAAGCTCAATATTTATATCTTCATACAATATAATTTTCTTAATGTAGAAATACTTTTCTGTACACAGGGTCTTTAAATCGCAGGAGGAAGGTGCCATGGTCAGTACAACAACGCGGGGTGTCTTAACCATACTGAACTGGAACAGTAAGAAATGGGGGGGGGGGGGGGGTTGTCGAAGAAAAGTTGGGGGCTGGTACTGCCTTAATGTATGGATGTTGATAAAACAAATTTGTCATTTCTCGTGTAGGATACAACTTTTCATATACTGTATTTCTACGCATGTACATAAAATATGAGTATAGATTGGGAAGTTGACGGTCTGACACACCTTTCACATGGTTTTTCGTCATCACCGGATTTACCAAGTCGGCCCGGGGAGTGGCGCCTACCGTGTCATCCACATGGACAACATTAAAAAAAGATCTAAAATAAACTGGCCATGCTCCAACTTATCTTCAAATTACATGACAACACCTGTGGTACTTAATTTTCCAGTATAGTACATCTCCATTTCGCCTTTTCTCTATTGAGAAGTTGATGGCTCGTTTTATAGGGGGAGTATTAAAACGAGCCATCAACTTCTCAATAGAGAATACATTTCACCCTTCAGGAAAAAAATTGTCAACATTTTCTTTAATTTAAAACAAAGTAGTTCTTATTCAATCGCCCACTATTACAGCAATTTTTGTTAAAACTACTATCTTGTTTTCTCTTGATAAAACAAAGCAATGAACAAGGACAATTAAGTTTTAAGTTTTTATTACTACAATTATTTAGAAAAGATATAAAATGTGAATTACAACAACAACAAATACTTGTTATAAAAACAGTTTTGCCGTCATCATTTTCGGCTTTGGTTACACAATTTTTACAAGTCTCAAATACAAAGCAGCTATCTACATGGTTTAAAGAAGGTCTATTTACATCAAAGTCCCACCAAAAGTTGGGGCTTATCAAAGTTCCGAGTTCAAGGTCACCTTGCCATAATTTCTTCAAATTTTGAGGGTAGAGAGGCACCGACATTGATGAACAAACTCTTGAGCACATTAAGTTCTTTTGTTAACAAATCAAGTTTCTTTTGTAAATTTTCGTTTTCTGTGGTTAGTTCTTGCACTCTCTCTTCTGTTTCTTGTTGCTTTTTCTTTGCTTTGTCCCTACTTTTTCGCACAGCAATATTATTCCTGACTCGTTTATCTAAATATTCCTCGGTCCCCTTCGCTGGTTGTTTCTTTCTGTTTGGTCTGATGGGACCCCCAGCAGATGGTTTTCTGCCCGGGCGACCACGCACAATCTGAAGAGGCGAAGACGGAGGGGAGAGGGTCGATGAAGTGACGTCGTGTTCAGACCCGGACGGAGAGTGAACGAGACTTTCGACGTCACATGTGCTAAGTTCCTCCGCCTTGATGGTCGAGACTGACCAGGCAGTCTCTGTACTCGTTGTTATCTGGTCCTGACTTGACATAAAGTCAAATTCCTTTAAAGTAGGTAAGGCACTTGTTTGTGTTGTTTGCAGTTCACTAAATGGGACAACGGTAACTGGGTCAGCAGTCTTCTCCCCCAAAATAATGCTCTCTAGAGCAGCGTCGTTTACGTGTGTGGAGTTATTCAGCAGTAATTGAATGTCGACTGAATTCTCTAAGAGCGGGTCCAAGTCGAACTGGCCCGGATTATCAAGTGAAATCGTTACTTGCGTTTTCTTGCCCTGTTCAGTGTCGTACAGGTTTAGCGATTCCATCAAATTTTCTTGAGGACATGGTGAACCTGGGAAAATGTTCTCGTCAAATGAAATTATTGGAAAATCCAGCGCCTCCGCTTGTGTTGTCACTCCAAAGACAGACCCGAAAGCCTGTGCAATGTTCACACGCGAATCTTGAAGATTGCGGTCGTTTACTTGTCTCACTCTGGAGTTGTCAGACATACCACTGACGAAACATCGTGATCTCAACGTATATATAGATATTAGTCGGGGTTATCGATGTATTACTACGCAAAGTCAAGAATCGCCTAAAATATACAATTTAGGGTAGCAAAAGATAAATCATTCATGCTAAGCATACATCATTGACATTTAAGAATAAATATAAGTTTTTAAAAAGTAATTGCATATTTATTTTGTTCTTTTCTCTGATACAAATGTAGAACTATTTTGTAAATCGCAATAATGTATCAGGTTTAACTTTGCCAGAAATCTAAAATTAGAATATGATGTAAGAAAGATCGATTTTCATTGGTTCATAAAAATAAACATTACCGCTTCATTATTCTTGACGTAAATGCTTGTGGAAAACTCCTTAGATTGTCTCGAGTGTGGAGTAAAATTCTAGAGAATTCCGAAAAATGGGAAATTCCATTTTGTGCGGTATGACCACGTTTAATTTTTCTAAATATTTTCAAATTTGATATGGTTCTTTGTAAAATATTTGATATTTCGTTTGCTTTAATATACAAGAATTCAAGTGGTATTATTGTTATAACATTTTAGTGATCATTCTGCACTGAATAAAGGAAGTGCTTACCGATTGGCGAAGAAGTTGATTGCATCACAGATAAATTGCATGGAAGGCCATTAGTATACAGATCCCTTTCGAAAGAAATATTTGTTCTTAATATCTTAGTGGATATCAGGTAAGGATTTTCTTCACTTCATTTTGATATGTTCTATCAAAAAACACGAGTATCGTTAAGGGATAATCGGTGATCAATGATCAAAGCTTCTTTTGGTTTGTTGATATTGACAATTCTACTTCCGGTTTTTGATTTTGCAATCATTTATTCCACTGTTTTGTCACTCAAGTTTAAGATTGTGTTTATATTTTCGCTAAAACTAACTAGATTTATTCCATTGTTTTCAACGATATGAAAATTATTGTATAAAAGGTCATTTACACTAAGAACGTTTATTGCATCAGGTACTAAATCCAGAGAGGGGGAGATCACTCTATATATAACTTGTGATGCAATAATGAGTGTTGTATTTGTAGGTTGTAAGATGGCACCAAAGCGGCCAGATTATGATGGCTCGGATGGAGAGTCATGTGATAAACCTCCCAAACGTGCTAGAATGGACAAAGACACAGATGAGTATTTGAAAAGGAGAGAAAGAAATAATATTGCAGTAAAAAAGAGCAGAGAGCGTTCCCGACAAAAAGCGAAGGAGACAATTGAGCAAGTGAATAGATTGCGAGCAGAAAATGAAATGTTGGAACAAAAGGTTCAAATTCTTTCAAAGGAACTGAGTGTGTTAAAAGACTTATTTTTGGCTCATGCAGGCAGCGTAGCTCAGTCAGAAAGTGCCATAGAAACCACTGATACCAGGGCACCAATATCTGATCATCAGTACAGCTCATCTAAACAGAAACAGTGACTCCAAACATTGGAGATAGATCTCGATCTTTCATATACACTTAGTGCATTGGTCCATTTTATTATGTATAAATCAGCAAAAGTTAATGTTCTTTACAATCAACACACATGCAGTGCTCTAGTTTCATACATTTTAGTTACATGCAAACAAAAGATGACGGTGATGAATAAAGTTCTGTCTTTATGGATGTCTTTCTTATTTTATCCAAAGCGGTTAACTATAGACCTATAAGAGAATAGAATTGGTATCCATTTCTCATTTAAAGGAATTTGATGTCAAATATTATACTAATATATCGGTGTATCATTCATGTTTTAATTTGGAAGCTGTATCACAAGCTTACGAATATAATCTTAGTATAAACCTACTCCAGCATTCTAGGAGTTCACTGATATATACATTTGACTTGGTTTTATGTTTAGGTATAAAGAGCAGAGACGTTAACTGAGGCTCTTGTTAGAAGTACTATAATCCAATGATGGCATCAGGTAGAATTTGCTTCATTTAATGAGTATCTTGATGAATAATGGATGACACCATAGTTTTTAACAAGTGACTGTTTCATATTGGAAGCATGTATCATGAGCATCCTCTATTCAGACTAACATCTTTTACTCTGAAGTAAAGTTTGTAAGCTATCTGAATTCATGTATATCATAAAGATGAAAGGTAGGCAAGGAACTGTGCAAATGAACAGAAATTTTGAGCTGTTTGACAGACTAAGGAGAGGGTCATCTTTTCTCTTTACTGATTCTCTTTATGGAAACCTGATCGCAAAAATTCTGAACAACCCAGTATAGCAGACCCTATCACAGTATTTATTAGAAAAGTCAAATTCTGACAAATGCAGTTACATGTTTTTAGTAGCAGTAGTGGATGTATACCTGTTGCTTGTGATGACTGGAACATTTAATATATCTAATTCATAACTTTTCCTCTGAAGAGCACATGTATTAACTGGAAAACTTTTACAAAGGGCAATTCCCTTCTTAACACTTGAATTTTCATCACTAATGGATATCACTCAAAAACTATGAAGAAGAGATCCTTGACCCACAATGTTTATCTATATTTCCTTGTATGTAGAAAATGAAACCTCTTATCCCCCCCCCCCCTTTCCCAGCCAGGAACAGTAACTAATGATATAAGCATTTGTTTCAAGAAAACTCAAAATGAATCTTTAAATTGAAATTTTTTCATGCAATAGATTTCACTTCTTCCTATAAATAATCCATTGTAGATTGACATCTTTGAAATGGTTTTATAAGTAGTTGACACTCCCTCTAACAGCCAGGGGCTCAAGGCAAGCAAGTTATTTAAAAAAAAATAAAAGCTTGCTTAATCCAGAAAAAATTTTCAAAGTCTTTGGAAAAATGGGGAAAATTGTTTATTTAATAATAAAAACTTGACCCCAAAAATGTAAATAACACCTCCAAGGCTGTAACTAGCCTCAAATTTTTAGTGAGGCAAGGGATCTGGGGGACCACCCTACTTCCAAGCAGTTCAAGGGTAGTGTCCTGATAGAGGTTCTTGATGCGAAGGGGGAGTTCCTGAGTCCTGACACCTGGGTTTTAGTAAATTGAAGCTTTAATCTTTGAGAGCTTTCACATTTTGAATTATTTTTTTACATGCTTTCTAAACAATGAAGCACCTGGTGAAATGATTGATTTACAGAAATTGAAACAAAAAAGTATTTATTTAATTGGTACAAAGACACACATAATTAATTAAAGCTCAAAGTAAAACTTTTTCAGAAAACTCTAAAATTTTAGTGAGGCATTTGCCTCAATGGTAGTTATGGCCTTGACCTCAAAGTAACAAGTAAAATACTTCTTTCCAATCCTCATCTCCATTGGAGTCTGTGCACTGTATCTTGTATTACATAATGGAATCCCAAAATGCAATATACATTGGTGGAAAATACAAAAACCTTAAGATTTCAGACAAATCAATGACCCATTGGGATATGAAAGTAAACTTAAATAAATTACAATGTATCATTAAAAAAATTGTGTGTGAAATAATTTATGCAAGTTATTATTTTTCAAATAACCTGTTTGCATTATGCATCTGGCTGTCTAAGGGACAAAATATGATGACATTTTTGACAAATCAAATGTCCTTTATTTTTTGTTTTATAGTATTTTACAGTATATCATTTATAAAACCTGATCCCATTCTACTGGGAGATGCTTCTATATATGAATAATAATTTCTTTGATATTCTTGAGAGAAAGATTTCTTTAAATAAAAAAAAACATGTTGAGAAAAAGATTTCTTTAAAAAAGAATCATGTTCATGTATATTCCAATATAAAACTTTTACCCCCTATTGTGGCCCCTGTCTCTTGATTTGAAAAAAAAAACCATGAAATATACACTACATAAAACTTTGATACATGTGCAGATCTAGAGAAGGGGTTGGAATTTGTAGAGTTATTAAAAAGCTTCTTTTTTCTTTTTTTTTAAACATTTTTTTTCCTTGCTTGTCAAGAAATTTTCTGGGTTTGATATGTTTGGGAAAGGAGTTTAGGTTGTGTGTGTGTGTGTGTTTTTTTTTGCTTGGCTAGAAATTTCTGGATTTGAAATTTTTTTCTTTGACTGGACCCCCCTCCCGGAAAAAAATCCTGGATTTGCACCTGTGATATCAAATTTGTAGCCTGGAGCTGATCTTTCAAGCTTTCAAGTGAGCATAATTAAGATAACTGCATCCTAATTCCCCATAAAGAAGACATGGCCCTCCATTTGAAGAAACTTCCCTTCAAACAAGCATACTTGGTGCAAAATTTGGTTGAAATTAGCCCTAAGGATTTGATGGAGATGAAAATGTGAAAATTTACATTTGACTAACTGACATGTCAGAAATTTTCAATTCAGAAAAGCTCATTTAAGCTATTACAAAACTGTACCTGAGTTGAAACTTGAGCTAACCTAAAGAGCAAATTCTAAGTTACAAGCTGGACATGAATTTCTGACCAGGTCCTGACAATACTCACTTCCTGGTTCTAATATTCCCTACCAATGGTTGAAGCCAAGGTCATTTACATATTAGGATAACTGAAGGTGTATGGGTTAGATTTTTTTGTTCTGTTTACGCATTATTTCACATGGATATGAACTTCAATTTTAATACTCAATCAAGCAAGCATTTTGTTCAACACAGCCAGCAAAAGATTAGAAAGTGCGAGTTCTCCAGAAACCATTGTGACCCCAGTGTCCTTAAAAAACAATGATGATTCAGCTTCTTATTAAACTGCTACAAAATGCAACAAAGGATGCTTATACAGTGCCAGAGCAAAACATTCTCTTAATCAGCTGGACATTTCCGTATACAACATCTATTTTTTTAAGTACACATGTATTCATTACATTGCAAGATCTAGTTAGAATAATCTAACTGTGTCTCGGGACAGGCCCTCACTCGCGTCCGTAGGACATTTATCATTTTAACGATAGAACATTCTATCTATGCAAGATCTAATACATGTAGTAGTTTACAGTCATCCAGTATTGCATTAGGTGAGATGAGTTGTTATCATTTCAATATTCATATGCACTAGTTTTATATACTTAGTCTATTATTTGGTTCTTCTGGCAAAAAATGATGACCTAGTACTAGTATTTATTATTGTAATAACATCCAGACTGGCTTACAGATTACAAAATGGCACCCAACCACTAGGATTTCAATGTGTTCATAAAAGGGATTCATATTATGCATTTTTTAAAACTATACATACTGAATTCTTCTTCACCCCAAAGTATGTTGACAAATTTTTCATTTATCACAAAAAAAAGATAACCTGGTATTTAAATGAAATTTATTAGAGAAGAGTTTATGAACATTACAATCAAGATTCCCTCCACTGCATGTTCTTCAATAACATGTGTTTCCTCTTCATCTTTATCCAAGAGGGTTTTCCTCTGACCTCATCGTTGTAGTGTAAGAATGGGTATTTAGGGGGAGGTGTGGGAGGCTTAAATGGATGTACAGATTTTAATTTCTCTCGTAAGACCTCTTCATCAATATCTTTAATGTCTCTGTATCGATCTAAATATCTGAAATTTATAGCAAAACAATTGTCAAAAGAAACACTGATGACCTTTATGACAGCTCATTGCCAATGTTAAAGTTTCTAAACTACAAACTCTAGGGCCAAAGTCAAGAGGTCAAAAAATATTGGTACTCAAAGAAAGGTATTATCACAAGGAATATGCCTATGAATTATTAAAGCCATTGCACAAACCATTCAGATTATGGTCAAGGTTAAAGTTTTTCAAAAGTAGGTCAAACTCAAGGTCAAGGTCATGAAGTCAAAAAATGTTGGTATGCAAGGAAATGTCTTGTCACAAGTAATGCACTTGTGAAATATCAAAGCCCTAGCACCAAATAATTTTAACTAATAGCAAAGGTTAAAATTTTTCAAAAGGAGGTCACACTTCAAGATCAAAAGGTCAAAAATGTTGGAAACTGAAGGAAAGTCTTGTCACAAGAAGTACAAATGTGAAATATAAAAAATGCTAGTACCCAAGGGAATGTCTTGTTAAAAGGAATGCACATAGTATACAACAGTATAGCCAGTGTTAAAGTTAGGTAAAATTTTGCAAAAGTGGGTCAATGTCCAAGGTCATTGTCAAGAGGTCAAATATGTTGGCACTCAAAGAAAGGTCTTGTCACAAGAAATAGACAAATGCTCTAATCAATCAAAAGTTATGGGCAAGGTTAAAGTTTTTGTGAACAAACAGACAGATGAAATGACAGACCAAAAACAATCTTCAATTGCATAAAAATTCATTTCGTGAGAAGTAGCCATCATGTTTCATACAAAGTGTAAATCGACATACATTAGTTAACATAGAGATGTTAAAATGTACTCACAAGTCAAATGGCTGTTTATGTGGGAACTTCTTCTGCTTTGGGTGGTAAGAAGCTGGGAATACAAACTCAAAACATGGCTCCTTCATACCTACAATAAATTACAAGTACTATCATAGCTGTGTCTCCCTCATACAGCTAAAATCATACCTAGGAAGATTTCAAACATTTTGTCTTTTTCTAATTCGGTGGTTCTTGAGAAGACAATGTTCTCCTATACATTTCAATGAAACACTTTGATCCCCTACTGTGGCCCCATCCTACCCCTAGGGGACAGGGGCCCTGATATGAACAATTAAGAATTTACAATACTGAAGAAGCTTACATATAAGTTTCACTTTTTCTGGCCTAGTGGTTCTTCATCAGAATTTTTTTTTAATAACCCCACCCTATTTTTTTTCCTTTTCTTGATTATCTCCCCTTGGAATGGGCTTGGCCCTTCATTTGAACAACTTAGAATCCCCTAAACCCAAGGATGCTTTGTGCCAACTTTTTAAATTGGCCCAGTAGTTCTTGAGAAGAGGTCGAAAATGTGAAAAGTATACAGATGGACACTAGACAACCGGTGATCAGAAAAGCTCTTTGACCTTTCAGCTCAGATGAGCTAAAAATATTCTGTTGAGTTACTCCTACCAACTCATACCAATTGCCCCAACCCAATCATTCTTTTTACAATACCAGGTACTTTAATTTTTTCCCCTTGATTTTCTGGGAAAAATACAGATTGTCAGCATTGCTTTTAAATCTTACTGGTCTATATATTATTTATATATTTATTTATTCATTCATTTATTTAATCCTTTATTTATTTATTTTCTGCTGCACTTTACTAACATCTCAACTACCGTATATACTCGCGTATAAGTCGGTTTTTTGGGAGTTAAACTTTGGTCCAAAAACCCCTGTCCGACTTATAGGCGAGTTATAAAAATACTGGTATTATATCGGGTCAATCCCTTTAATATAAGCTTAAAAAATACAACCGACTTATAGGCGGACCTACCTATAGGCGAGTATATACGGTACGTCAATGACATTTAGGAAAGAATCCTGAAGTTCCCTGAATAAACGTGTAAATATTAGGGATGTGCGATTTTATCGGTATACCGGTATATCGTGATTTTTAATTGTGTGATACGTATCGTGATACGGAGACTAAAATACCGGTATTTAGGTACATTGTTAAAAATTCCAGAAATTATTCATTTTTTGTTCAGTCTTTCAAATTACAATTACAGGAAGTGTAAAGAATGTTGAAAACGGTAAAAGAACGGCATCCTAGTATCCAAAATTTCTTGATATTACGTAAATAAAAAATGAAAAAAATGAAGTTATGTTTTTCCAGCATTTTTTTCGGAAAAAATTATGAATATTCATCTAAAATCATTGTAAAATTGCTTGTAAAAATATCATGATATTATCATGATATTTTGGGAGAAAATTGTGATATATTGCGATACGAAATTTTTGGCGATACCCATCCCTAGTAAATCTGAGATTTTAATAACATTTATCAATGTCTTAGATAATTCCAAAAAAAACCCTACCAACCTCTCTACCCAATTTGAAAAATATGGTGCCCCCAGGTTATAAAGTTTTACATAGCAATATAAAGTAAGTGATATAAAATATATAGAGGATATTCAATGTTTTGTAGATGAATATGGAATTTATTTCACGAGTGGGACAGGATTTTTTGATATTTTCACGAGTGCGAAGCACGAGTGAAAATATCAAAAAATCCTGTCTCACGAGTGAAATAAATTCCATATTCATCTACAAAGCATTGAATTTTCTGTTTATTACATTTTCTTTGATTTTCCCTTTGCCTCTGTCTTTTCTTAACACAGTGTCATAGGCTTGACGTCATAGTTGAGCGGTTGAGACGTCATAGCTTAGAAGTTGTGTGTCAGATTGAAAACATTACATAGCATGGATTTTAGCAACATATTTAGGAAGAAATTTGCAGTTTTAGCTCTATCAAGATGCTTAGTTACTATCTCTTATGACAGACCAGAAATTATTTTTTACTTACTTTGATATCCTTTCACACTGTGAGAGAATATTTTTGGTATCCTTTCACACTGTGAGAGAATATCACTTTTATTCAATAAATAAATCACAGTATTTCAATGTTGAAAATGTAATAAAAATATATATATACACTTTTCTTTAAATGAGGGTCATGTAACTTACCAAGCTTATTCCAGAAAACATCTCGAACACTTTCATCATGCTGACACTGGAAAAAACTAATCCCAGCTGGTGTGATATGATCTTGATGTTTTTCATAAAAGTCAAAGGTTTTGAATGACCTTTCCCTTAAAGAGCACCTGTGAAAATAGGCATATACTTTTGCTTTATCATGAAATATTCCTATATTCAAGCTAGTGTTACAAAAATAAAATATTACAGTAGTGGATGTGTAACAGACAAGTACTTCAAGAAAAATTCCAAAAGGCCCATATGCCTTAGGCAATTCCAAGTTTTTTTCTCTGTTTAGCTTCCCCATATCTTTCAAAAACCTACTTATACACAAAAAAACACACACTAACTGATATCAAGTTTATAAAAATCTCAGTCTGGATTTTTCAAAGAAAGTACAAACATTTCACTCTTCTCCGAGTGTGAAAATTAGAACTTTATCATGAACATTTAGCATAATGAAATTCAGGGAAAAAAAAAGTAAATTTGGTCTCAACCAAGTAGAGCCATAATGGTCTCAACCGTCCAAGTAGAAGCCATAATGACCTTGTTGTCATTTTTATTGCTTCAATTTCAAATTCAACACAACTAATGGAAAATTATGCAATGATAACTGACTGGCAGGACCCCATATTACACTGCAGTCATTTCTGATCTATTAATTTATCTGAACATTCAGCATGGATTAATTAGAAGATTTAACTGTTACACTGGTAGAATGACTGTCTTACGTGTTTGGATTCAGTCTGTCACTACTGTAGTCAATTTTCTGCTCCTGTTTAAACAGAACAAATACACAGCGATGGAATCCAGTTCCCTTCACAGGGAACACCTGCAGATAATCACAGAGTACTTCCCCTTTGCTGATCTCATTTCCTGGTATATTTCCCCTACAATTATCACAGATAAAAAAATAAATATAATAATAAGAATAAGATTTATAGATCTCAAAATTAAAAAGTTAATGAGTTTGTTTACAAGAAGATTACAAAATTAATCTTTTTTAATTCAGAAAACAATGTAAGCACCAGTAATCCTTTTACTACAGTAATATTTGCCATATTAAATATCATTACAGAGACAGTGTTTCAAAATTATGATAACAAGATGTGTTTCCTTCAAAAGTTATGACCAAGGTTAAATTTTCATGCCCCTGTATCGAAGATTTTGCCCAGTCCGTCCATCTGTCTGTCTGTTTGTTTATCCACAATAACTTTAATATTGCTCATAACTTTTGATTGGTTGGAGCTATGGCTTTCATATTTTACATGTGTGTTCCATGTGACAAGACCTTTCTTTGGGTACCATTATATTTGACCTTTTGACCTTGACCTTGGCATTTGACCCAGTTTTACAAAATTTTACCAAACTTTAACCTTGGCCATAACTTTTGAACTGTTGGTACTAGGGCTTTCATACTTCACATGTGTAATCCTTGTGACAAGACCTTCCTTTGGATACCAACAACTTTGACCTTGACCTTGGAGTTTGACCTACTTTCAAAAAACTTTAACATTGGCTATAACTTTTGAACGGTTAATGCTAGGGCTTTCATACTTCACATGTGTAATCCTTGTGACAAGACCTTCTTTTGGATACCAACAACTTTGAACCTTTGACCTTGGAGTTTGACACCTTTTGAAAAACTTTAACATTGGCTATAACTTTTGAACGATTAATGCTACTGCTTTCATACTTCACATGTTTTATCCTTGTGACTAGACCTTCCTTTGGATACCAACAACTTTGACCCTTTGACCTTGACCTACTTTTGAAAAACTTTAACCTTGGTCATTTCTTTGGAACAGTTGGTTCTAGGGCTTTCATATTTCATATATGCAATCCTTGTGACAAGACCTTCCTTTGGATACCAACAACTTTGACCCTTTGACTGTGGCATTGGAGTTTGACCTACTTTTGAAAAACTTTAACCTTGGTCATATCTTTTAAACGGTTGGTGCTAAGGCTTTCGTATTTCACAGGTGTATTTCTTGTGAGAAGACCTTTCTTTGGGCACCATTAATTTTGACCATTTGACCTTGATGTTTGACTTTTTTGAAAAACTTTATCCTTTTCCATATCTTTTCAATGGTTGCTGTTAGGGCTTCCATATTTCACAGGTATATTCCTCGGTACAAGACCTTACTTTGGTTACCAGCATATTTGATTTGCTTTTGAGAAAGTTTAACCTTCACTATAAGTTGCCATATGGGGGCATCTGTGTTTCACAAACACATCTTGTTTTCATAAAGTATGTGAAGTATGAAAGCAGTAGCATTAACCGTTCAAAAGTTATAGCCAATGTTAAAGTTTTTCAAAAGGTGTCAAACTCCAAGGTCAAAGGTTCAAAGTTATTGGTATCCAAAGAAAGGACTTGTCACAAGGATTAAATATGTGAAGTATGAAAGCCCTAGCACCAACTGTTCAAAAGTTATGGCAAAGGTTAAAGTTTTCCAAAAGTAGGTCAAACTCCAAGGTCAAAAGATCAAAGTTTTGGTATCCAAAGGAAGGTCTTGTCACAAGGATTAAATATGTGAAGTATGAAAGCCCTAGCACCAACTGTTCAAAAGTTATGGCAAAGGTTAAAGTTTTCCAAAAGTAGGTCAAACTCCAAGGTCAAAAGATCAAAGTTTTGGTATCCAAAGGAAGGTCTTGTCACAAGGATTACATATGTGAAGTATGAAAGCCCTAGCACCAGCCGTTCAAAAGTTATGGCCAAGGTTAAGATTTTCCAAAAGTAGGTCAAACTCCAAGGTCAAGGCCAAAAGGTCAAAGTTGTTGTTATCCAAAGGAAGGTCTTGTCACAAGGAATACACATGTGAAGGATGAAAGCCCTAGTACCAATCGTTCAAAAGTTATGGCCAAGGTTAAAGTTTTTCAAAAGTAGGTCAAACTCCTAGGTCACAACGGACGATCAAAATTTTTTACATATGACCTACTTTAACTCGCAAATATTAATCGCTGCGAACCATTTATTTTGCTTTCTATTTGTAGAGAATGTTTCCTCAGTCAGGAAAACTAATCGTCGCTGATTCATTTCAAACTGACGAATCATGAATAAAAGTTGATGCAAATAATAGTTGGTTTACAGTATTTGATTTGCATTTGAGAAAGTTTACCCTTTGCTATAAGTTGCCACACGGGGGCACCAGTGTTTCACAAACACATCTTGTTTTTTACTTACACTAGCCAATGGAGGTACTCTGTGTTGTTGTCCTGTAAGTGACTGTCTGGCGCAGTCATTAATAATGTCCACAAAGTGTCAGGTTCTGCCTCGTAATACACATTTGGAGGTCTGCCAGTCTAGAAAGCCAATGAAAAGCATAATAAACTGAAAATAAACACTTATTTTACCTGTATTATGATAGTACCATCCCCACATAATAACATTATAAATAAATATACAGAATCATGACTTACTGTGAGTACCACAGAAGCAATTCTAGTCCCCTATCAGTAATTTGATCATTTTATTTTTCACACTTGGGAAGGGGGGGGGGGGGCTACTAAAAAGTGATGCAGGCTAGTAAAGTTTTGTCATTACTAACCCCACTGGGCTAGTGCTGTAAAAAGTTTTTGGAGCACACTTAAGTGAATTAAAAATGATCTTTCATGAATGCAGTTTTTAACAATGTGGGGCAGCTATATATACTAGTATCTCCATATATCGAGGTACTTATTTCTTTCACATAAAAAAATTATTCCATAAATTTACTTTTTCATCAAATGCTATTCATAAACCTAAGAATGAGCTAACTTTTTTTTTAGTGGCAAATTATTTTTAAACCTTGCTTTGTTTAATTTGTAGTTTATTTTAAAACAAGAAGTCTCATTTACCTCCTAAAGTGGAGAGTCTCTTTGTATCGCGGTATTGAAATACATAGAAGATTGGCACTGTCATGAAGTGCAATTTTTATTTTTTAATTCAGCATGTGAATCTATACGAAAATTAAACAATAATAACAATTTAAGGCTTTCCAAATATGAACTTCATTATGGTTATTTACTATGTTTATATATTCAATGGTCTAAGAAAAATAAGAAAGGGAATGGTAGTCTGTAAACTACTCTATATCATCCTCACAATGCCGAGGTTTTGTAATTTCGGAACTCCACACAAACCCTTGACATAAGTCTTTATTTAAATGTTGGGCTAGAAAGCTACTATTTCATTTGTTCCTGGTCTAGGACTGGAACCAACCAGAAAACAGCTTTTATTGTGGTAAGTTTCGTAAGCAAATATGACTCATCTTTAAAATGGAAAATGTCAATATTGTAGGATTTGTGACTAGTTACTTTAAATAAAACATCGGGGATTAATTTTTTGAACATCAACCTCCTTACAATCACAAAAGATATACTCTGGAGTTTGGCAATTTGATAACGACGGATTTAAAAATATATATTCTCATTGGTTAGTTTATAATTACCCATTACGTCATGTGTAACCACAAGCCCAACTTTTAAATAACCACTTATGTCAAGGGTTTGTGTGGAGTTCCGAAATCACAAAACCTTGACATTGTGAGGATGACTCTATATTTGAATAAATCTTTCTCCAACATGCGTTCCATACTTTTTTATTATCACACAAGTCAAAAATCAGATGAAAGACAGACAGAACATTAACAAAAAGGATATGTGTTATGTATCTTAATTTTTGGAAAATACCGCGATACAATGGAACCTGCGAAATGATGAGAATGGAGAATATGTCCCAAGTTAAGGAACTTGTATCCAATTCCAATTGTTCAATGATGCACCATAAAAATATTCAGTTCATATACAAATCAGAATTGAAGGTATAGCAACTGCAGGGCATAATTTTTTATCTGATCAATCCTATTCAAACTCTATGACTTGCCTGAGAGGGTTCAATCCTGTTTCCATGATACACTGGTAATTCATAGTCATCAGGAATATCATAGCTTACGTCCAAGTTGACATGTGGGTAAAAATAAGCTCCTCCAAACAAATCTCGAAATATACCATAATGCTCTGTAAGTCGGTGTAGCTGCTCCTGTTTGTTTGTGTTCCAAGATTCTTCATCCACTTTGTCCAGGTCAATTTTTACTTAAAAAAAAAACAAACAAAAATACGTAATGGAACAATTAATTTTAAGTGCTGCTTTGTAGATTTACAATTACTTATATTTTTACCAGTTCGAAAATGGAAATGTGAGCATAAAAAAATAGATAACAAGGAAAAAAAATCACAAGAAGACATATACATGTATTTATTTATAAAAATCTAAAGCTATAAATTCTATTTTTTGTATATTAAGTAATATGTATTTTTTTATTATAAAATTGATATGTATTTAATATTCAAAATAACATTGCCAAACCTTAGAATTAACCCAGTAATGTTCAAATTAACAAGAAATTTAGAAATGTATGTGATTATATTAAGGAAGCATCAATCTAATTAAAATTAGATGTTCCAAATCCGCTACCACTTCTCAAACATCTAACAACATCCCATTCGGGGTCACATCAGAGAGACCTTACGATTATGAATAAACATAAAAATTTTGGCCAATCAGATTCAAGCTTCTGTATATGATTCTAAAATTAGTTCCACAGCTGCATCAAAATAATATTGATGCTCAGTAAACTGTCTTACGTTGAATTAAAGTAATGTTGGTATAAATTGAATGTATAGTCCACCAATCTGGCATTCTTACCTGAATAACGCAAACGAAAATGCACAAACTAGGCATATATGTCTATATATCCCGCACATCACATTCATCTTTACCATGCATATTTTATTTACTACAAAACCCCTCGGGCGTTTAGGTTTGGCAGTAAAAAAAGAAATGCATCTGAACTATATTAAACCAAGATTTCGAGGACGGCGATTTCATTGGGTAATCCAAAGGTCGTTCTGACTTTACCCCGAATGGGATGTTGTTTGATGTTTGAGAAGCTGTAGCGGATTTAGAACATCTAATTTTAATTAGATTGTGGAAGCATAAACCATGTATGGACAAACACTACCAAAGACCTACATTTTCCATCTTGAACTATGGCCAGTAACTGTCTTCTCTTTTTCTTTATCACAGCTTTAGTTTGTTCTTCTATCAAACTATTTTTTGTTAATGGAAAACCAATGTTGACATTGGGAGGCTTGGCTTGTTTTGTCAATTTCATGTCTGCAACATAAAACTTTACAATCAAACTCTACAATCAAATAAAATTCTTGTATAACAGCGATACAACTCCACAGACAACATGTGCACATGTCAGCGACAACATGTGCACATGTCAGCGGGTAAAGATATAGCAACCACAATCTACAGTGAAAACAAGTAAATAGATTTCTTATCATATCTAAAAATGAAAATCTTATCATATGTAGCATATAATTCTTGGCTATTTGCAGTGTGTCAATAAAATTTAAGGAAGCTCTAAATATTGCTCTTACAGTGGTCTGCCCTTTCATACATAGTTGTCAACTTGCCAAACAGAAGAGAGTGAAATAACAGTTATTATGTCTTTTGTTAAATTTCGAAACAAAAAATTAAGTAAGTTTCGAACATCATGCAGTACAAAGCCTCAGGGTCATGATTTGAACAAACTTGAATCTACACAACCATGAGGATGCTTCCATATAAATATGACCAATCATGGCTTTGCTGTTCTTGAGAAGATTTGTAAAGATTTCTCCTATATATTCCTATGTAAAAATTTTGATTGTCCATTGTGGTCCCATCCTACCCCCGGGGGTCATGATTTGAGCAAACTTGAATCTACACTACCTGAGGATGATTCCACATGAGTTACATCTTTCCTAGCCCAGTGATTCTTGAGTAGAAGATTTTAAAAGATGCCATTAATTTTTCACTCATTCATAATTATCTCCCCTTGGAAGTGGACATGGCCCTTCATTTGTATAAATTTCAATCCCCTTTATCCAAGGATACTATGTGCCAAGTTTGGGTGAAATTGGCCTAGTAGTTCTGGAGAAGAAGATGAAATTATGAAAAGTTTACATCGATGACACACAACTGGCAAATTTTGATCAGAAAAGCTCACTTGAGCCTTTGGCTCAGGTCAGCTAAAAAGTCATCTGACATTATTACTCACTCCGAGGGTCCGGCACAAGCAGAAAATAGGTAACGATGTTTTCTATAGCATACTTACTATAAATTGGCAAATAGGCTAACGTGTAAGAACAGAGAAAATTTGAACTAAAATCTGTATTTGTCAAGCAAATTTTTGTGTGAAACCTTTCCAGAATTCTTTTACTATCAGTATTCCATGCCATAATGGTGAATATTACAGTCCCACAGTTATCTTGATTATTATACGCCCGTCTTAAGACGGGACGTATTATGTTATAGCCTTCATGTCCGTCCGTCCGTCTGTTAGCTTTTTCGTGTCCGGCTCATAACTTTAATACTATTAGGCCTAGAATTATCAAACTTTTTCAGCTGATACGTCTTGGGTAGAAGGTGTGTCGCGCATTAAAAGTAAGTTGCTCTGACCTTTAATTTAGATGCTATGGCCAAATATGGAAAAATCCTGTCCAGCTCATAACTAGAAAACTATTAGACTTAAAATCATCAAACTTGATTAATTTATGCATCTTAGGTAGAAGGTGTGTCGCAACCTATTTCAAGGTCACTGTGACCTTTAATTTAGTGAAATTTTTGAAAAAAAAACTGTGTCTCTATACTATTAAATTACACAATCCCCAAAAATATAAGAATGTTGCAGTATCCTTATTAAAAACATGTGAAATCAAGAAAATACTTATTTTTTTCATTATATACTTTACAGCAATCTATAACAAATGTAATGTACAAGAGAAATTCCACCTCTCCCATGGGTGTAATTATCAAGCACTGGTCAAGGAGAATTTGATAACAGAAAATTGCATGTCAAATTAGAGAGAAATTAATAAGTTTAGTGTGAGGAACTAACTGGTAGAGCATCTCTGATCAAGCAGGTGTTATCTGTATCTCCTGGGAACTAGGCAAAGGAATTAAATGAATCTAGTTGGCTAGCCTTTTGACTTTTAAAATGAATTTGGTGAAAAGTAATTAAAACTAGCTTGATTTTGTATAATAAACTAATTTGATATTGTATAATATATGGGGGGGGGGATATTGGAATCAGGATGTTGGGTTGTCTGTTTGTCAATATGAACTGCAGCTTAAAACCAGTCTGACATTAAATCTCAAAGAAATCATCAAGTATTTTTAAAAAAAAATGTTTTATGGTAGATAGTTCCTACAAATCTAAGAGTCATGCAGTAACCTTATTAAAAATATTGCATCTAGTTTACACAGTTTTTTCCTTCTTTTTATAAATCTTTGTAACAAGTTAAAAAAATCTCTGTTTTCAAGGGAATGACATAAATATGCATTTTTATTACAATACAGACTATTAAAGCAGATAGTGCTGATCCATTCATCCCTTGGGAGTAATGAATGGACATGCATCCAGTTAAAGATTAATGAGTTCAGTGTATAGGAAGGCTAGCTGTCTCAATCATTTCTGTTAGAGCATCTCTGATCAAGCAGCTCTTATCTGTATCCTTTGGGAATTAGACAGAAAAACTGCTTGTCAATTTATAGCATATGTCATTTGATGGCCAGCCTTTTATTTTCAAAATTAATTTGGTATAGATTAAATTGTTAAGACTATTTTGATATTGTTTAATACAAATTTTTTATTTAATTTTTTGAAAATATCAAATAAATATAAAAGATTGGGGGGGGGGGGGGAGCAGATGGGCATTTGTCAAGGTCTAACACAACCAGTTGAGAAATTTATTATAATTAGTGCCTGCACTACAGGAAATGTATAAACATCAAATATTATAAGGAATGGAAAAATCATGGAAATCTTTGAATTAAGGTTGACATGATTTTCTAGCACCCTAAACTGTTTATGAACGTCAATATTTGACGGGCGTATCATGCTGTGGTGAGGCACTTTATTTACTTCTTGCAGACAGCTTAAAAGAAACAAAAGTAATTGCATCTACTCTACAAACTTCCTTTAAAACCAGAAGTCTCGGACAAGACTGAAGCTCTACTGGTTTATACTTATAATAAAGGAAGACAAAAATAGCACTTGGACTTGAAACTTTGCAACAGCAATAAAAAGAAAAATGATCCTTGGTTATGTCTCTTTTTGTTGCAAGACTTATTGCAATCAGACTAAGATCAGACTAAATTTGTAGGAGGGGTAGCCTTTTGAAGAATTTTACAGATATTACTATTTTTAGAAACCATGGCAACATCATTCATCAAGACAATTGTGTATCTCGGTGTAGTCTATTTGCATGCCTAATTATTAATTCAGACCAAACTGTAGGACGAGTAGTGTTTTGAAAGTACTTCAAAGAAGAAACTGATATACAGAATTATGTATCTCAGTGTAGTCTACTTGTGTGCCAAGTAAAATTGAAATCAGACCATAACTGTAGGAGGAGTAACATTTTGAAAGTATCTCACAGAAAATTCTATTTTTAGTAACCCATCTTCGCTAGCCAAGGGTTTCTGATATGCTACTCTCCTCATAAACCCTTGGCATACTGTGCTGACAAAAGACGGGATTGTTTTTGTCACGTGATCATGATTCTTACCAGGTACGCACAGATTGCATCATCGACAGAAATAAAAAAGCGTATTTAAAAAAAAAAAATTTAAAGAATAATTAACAAGAAGGTACATGTATTGAGTTATGTTAATTTGTTATTTAAACATGTAAAAATGCAAATCTACATCTTCAGTATAGATTCTTAATCATATTTTGCACGTAGCTTTAGATATTGGATGACACCATATAGCTATTCATAGAACAGTGTAGAATGGAATGTTAATTTACGGATCATTGTTTACTTGCGTTTTACATTACCGATATTAAAGAGTCAAGATATATCCCGAATGCAAATATCGTCATTTACAAAAAACAATTGCTGATTGGTCGAACGATGTCGATCAACTCCAATCACAACTTGAGAAAAAAATCCCAACTTTTTTTAACACCGTATGCCAAGGGCTTATGAGGAGAGTAGCGTATCCAGAAACCCTTGGCTAGCGAAGATGTTAGTAACCATGCAAAATCGTTCATCAAAATTAAAAACTGATACACAGAATTATGTATCTTAGTGTAGTCTACTTGTGTAACAGGTTATATTGAAATCAGACCAAAACTCTAGGAGGAGTAGCGTTTTGGAAGTATTTCACAGAAATTTCAATTTCTACTAACCATGGCAACACCTTTTATTGAAATCAAAAACCGTAAAATCATGTATCTTAGTGTAATCTACTTTGTGCCAAGTTATATATTGAAATCAGGCCACAACTGTAAAAGGTATAGCATTTTGAAAGTGTAGAAATTTCTATTTTTAGTGACCATGGCAACACCATTCATCAAAATCAAAAACTGATATAAAGAATTATGTATCTTATTGTAGTTTACATTGTACTTGTGTGCCAAGTTATACTGAAATCAGACCAAAACTGTAGGAGGAATAGCGCTTTGAAAAAATTGTTTACAGACAGACACATGTACAGAAAGACACAGACGGATGATGGAAACCTTATTATCACATAAGCTCCTCTCGTCTCTGACCAGAAGAGCTAAAAATGCACTTGTCCTATTTCGACTGTGTTATGGAAATGCAACTAACATACCATGCCATACGTCATCTAGACTGTGTCTCATGCTGTTTGAAGTTTGAGGAGGTGGATCAAAGTTAAAGTGTAAGCTGTGTAAAGGTTTTCATGGTATATGTACAACTGTGCTCAGCCCCATGGTCAAACCATAAAACATGTTAGACTAAGATTAACTAATTGAAAACATTATTTGCAACTTTAGTTAACAGTGAAATGTGATCACTAATACTTCATTGTTTTTGAACATTTTGCTTAGATAAAACTGACCAGTGCGCTATGTTGAAAATAAAGTAAATATACTCGCATTGCAAGCTCTAACAACAACGTCTAGATGAAGAAAAAATTCAGATTTTACACATTGATCCAAATGAATTTTTTTTGTTACCTTGAGACCCACAGTGCAAAGCAAATGCATCTTGCTGCTAACTTTGTTTTTTGCAATAACAAAAATTTTAGATTCACATACAAAAAAAAATCACCTTGATTTATAATGGACATTGCATAAAGATAGATTAGATACAGAGAAGATTCTTTGATAAAATTATGCATTTTTCAAACTTTGTTCATGAAGATGCAGCTAACATTTGATATCATGTGATGTCACAGTCTAGACGTTCCAAATGTTTCGTGTGGTTTGAAGAGGCAGAACTTAGTCAAGACTAATACACAACTGTGCAGCACTCGCCCCAATGGTCACATTGCCAGCATATTTTAAAACAGGTCCAGCACAATCTCTTGATTAAGCTATATAGCTTGAAATAGTTATATACCTTTATTAAGCTATTCAAAATAGCTTGATAAAGCTATTTAAATGCAGTTTTTCAAAGAAAATGTTATTCGTACAAAATACACAAAAAGTCGCAAGGATTTTAATATTCATATATGTACTATGGGCTATCAAAACAACAATCATTCAAAATCAAAGATTTTACATTGCAGGATTTGAATACTTTTAAACAAAAGATGAATTTCCATTGTTTGGGTAACTGTACACTACCTTGTGTGCGTTGAGGTGTGGATAAGTATGATTGCTTCTCATTGTACTGAATTATTACCAATTAATTATCTTGTTGACCACATATGGCCTCCTTTATAATTCAATTTGAGAAGCAACTGTATCAATTGCTTTATATAGCCCCAAAACTTTTAGAACTTTGAGTACAAAGTCTCTTAAGGAGACGCAATTTGATGAGTGATTTTTACATGCATTATTTTCATAAGAGTTCAAGTTGAATATTATCACTGAACCAAGTTGCAACTTTTTGTGCATGCTGGGAAAATAACACATCTGAGAAAAAATGTGATAAAATAGCTAAATCAAGCTATTCTGAATAGCTTAATAAAGTTATATAGCTAAATCAAGCTATACAGCTAAATCAAGACATTGTGCCGGACCTGATTAATTATTATCTTATTATGTTTATTCAGATAAAAGGCATGTCTAACAAACAGTATTGACGGATTTACAATCATAATTTAAAATATCAGAATGAATAAAAATAAAGGATACAAATTTGCAAGCATTTACAACCACGTTAGACTATCACATTATAAATAAATAATAAATAGAGTATAAACACCGTTATATATATATATATATATATATATATATATATATATATATATATATATATATATATATATATATATATATATATATATATATATATATATATATATATATAAGTCCACAAAACATTTCTCACTGGTATTTAGAGCTTCAAATTCCTTAACTATCGTTGTACTTTTAAGTAACACAAGGTTGTTCCTGAGAAAATTCGAAATGAAAGAAAAAACTGATTGATTTTCACCTTCTAATCTCTGTTCAAATGTCCTTGCAACTCCTGGTAGTTTCCCACTTCTTCTTAATCGTAAACCTGTTGCATACCTTACATTTGTTAATCGATGCGAACCTTCGCTGTTTAAAAGGGATTTTATAAAACTGTTTTTCATTCCATTTGCCATGGACGCAGCCATTTTTTCAACAATCGGCAATCCTCGGCTAACTACAGAAAGAGGCGAGAGCGGCACGTCGATTTACCCAAATGGACCCCAAACGGATTCCCCCAAATGGATACCCAAAGGAAACCGAATGGAATATTAAATATATATGTTCATATTATCAAGTTTTACTTATTTAAAATAATGAACTTACAAATGCAAAATATTAATTATTCATTTCTAATATTTTATTTTAAAATACGAATTAATTATTTTTTTTTAGTATTCTATATATTGGCAAAATTATGGGGGGGGGGGGGGGCAAAGGCCCCGTGCCCCCCGGTTCCTACGGCCATGAAAACTATGTAAACTTTCAAATGAAATACTTCAATTTCGTATTATAAAAATAGAAAAATTCAATATTCTCCATTTGCAAGTTCATTATTTTCATCATTTTCAATAAGTAACAACTTGAGAATACGATAATATGTGTTTAATATTTCATTTGGATTCATTTGATTTCCATTTGGATCCATTTGGGTAAATCGACACATCCGGCGAAAGTGCGGGAACGGAATTGTGGGAAGGGCACCAGACCATCGAAGGAATCCTGTCAGCCTTTTGAGATTAGAACCTTGCATCTAGTGTTTTTATAAAGTGAATCAAAATGGCAGATACTGGCAAAGATTACATCACTAATAGTGCTGATCCAAAGAATATTCAGGATTTAACGCAATTTGTAAGTGAACCATGCTTTTATTATTTGATGCATGCATATACAAGTTCAGACTTGAACATCACTGATAAGATATTTTATCAAATTATTATTTTTTCAAGCACACATATGAATAATTTAATTTATGATATATTTATTTAAGCTTAAGCTGTATTTTTTTTTTTCGCTTGGATTGATGCAATCAATTTGGACTTCTAAGTACAGAATATTGTTTTCAATTATTACTCTGTATCTGTATCTATACGTCACAGCATCCTCTTGGGCTTTAATGTGATGGGAGGAGGACGTATTTAGTCGCGACGTTGTTGTAGCACAGACTTGAAGCTCTCTAGCTTTGGGGCGCGGACAACTTCCTCTTCTAGGTGGTTCCAGTCAATTGCAAAAAATGAGTTCTTGTATTGGTCTGTTTTTAGGTCACCTGAGTCACTCAGGTGACCTATTGCTATCCGTTTTTGTCCGTCGTCGTGCGTCGTGCGACGTGCGTCGTGCGATGTGCGTTAACATTTGAACATTTTTAGCTTCTTCTCTGAAACCGCTCAACCAATTTCAACTAAATTTGGCATATAGCATCTATGGGTGAAGGGGAACAAAAATTGTGAATTTCATGGTCCCTGCCCCCCTGGGGCCTGAGGGGTGGGGCTAAAACCACCAAAATTAATGCAATCTTTAAAAATCTTCTTCTTTACTCCTGGACATCAAGCAGTCAAACTGTTGGCATCATTGTGATAAGCATTGAGTCCTCTACCAAAATTGTGAAATTCATGGCCCCAGGGTCGGGTTCTGGTGCTAGGGCGGGGCTATATAGATCATATAGTGAAAGTGCATTATTTCTTTGAAAATCTTCTTCTCTGCTCCTGGGTATTAAATAAACTAACTAAGTATATAGTTATGATGAGTAAGAGTGACTCTTCCAAAATTGTGAAATTCATGGCCCCAGGGGCAGGGGTTCTGGTGTTAGGGTGGGGCTCTATTGATTATATAGTGAAAATGCATTAGTTCTTTGGAAATCTTCTTCTCTGCTCCTGGGTATTAAATAAACTAACTAAGTATATAGTAATGATGAGTAAGAGTACCTCTACCAAAATTGTGAAATTCATGGCCCCAGGGGCAGGGGTTCTGGTGTTAGGGTGGGGCTCTATTGATCATATAGTGAAAATGCATTAATTCATTGAAAATCTTCTTCTCTGCTCCTGGGTATTAAATAAACTAACTAAGTATATAGTTATAATGAGTAAGAGTACCTCTTTCAAAATTGTGAAATTCATGACCCCAGGGTCAGGGGTTCTGGTGTTAGGGCGGGGCTCTATTGATTATATAGTGACAATGCATTAATCCTTTGAAAATCTTCTTCTCTGCTCCTGGGTATTAAATTCAGTAACTAAGTACATAGTTATGATGAGCAAGAGTGCCTCTTTCAAAATTGTGAATTTTATGGCCCCTGGGTCAGGGGTTCTGGTGTAAGGGTGGGGCTCTATTGATTATATAGTGAAAATGCATTAATCCTTTGAAAATCTTCTTCTCTACTCCTGGGTATTATTGAAACATATTAAATACATAGTTATGATAATCAAGGATGCCTCTTTCAAAATTGTGAAATTCATGGCCCCAGGGTCAGGGGTTCTGGTGCTAGGGCGGGGCTATATAGGTCATATAGTGAAAGTGCATTATTTCTTTGAAAATCTTCTTCTCTACTCCTGGGTATCATTTAAACAAATTGAATACATAGTTATGATAAGCAAGAGTGACTCTACCAAAATTGTGAAATTCATAGCCCCAGGGGCAGGGGTTCTGGTGTTAGGGCGGGGCTATATAAATCATATAGTGAAAGTGCATTATTTCTTTGAAAATCTTCTTCTCTACTCCTGGGTATTATTGAAACAAATTGAATACATAGTTATGATAAGCAAGGGTGACTCTACCAAAATTGTGAAATTCATGGCTCCAGGGTCAAGAGTTCTGGTGCTAGGGCTGGGCTATATAAATCATATAGTGAAAATGCATTAATGCTTTAAAAATCTTCTCTACTCCTGGGTATTATTTAAACAAATTAAATACATAGTTATGATAAGCAAGGATGCCTCTTCCAAAATTGTGAATTTCATGGACCCTGGATCAGGGGTTCTGGTGTTAGGGTGGGGCTCTATTTATTATATAGTGAAAATGCATTAATGCTTTAAAAATCTTCTCTACTCCTGGGTATTATTTAAACAAATTAAGTACATTGTTATGATAAGCAAGGATGCTTCTTCCAAATTATGAAATTCATGGCCCCAGGTACAGGGGTTCTGGTGCTAGGGCGGGGCCATATATATCCTATAGTGAAGGTGAATTATTTCTTTAAAAATCTTCTTCTCTGCGCCTGGGTATTATTTAAACAAACTATTAGTACATTGTTATGATACGCAAGTATGCCCCTTCCAAAATTGTGAATTTCATGGCCCCAGGGTCAAGGGTTCTGGTGAAAAGGGGGGGGGGGCTCTATTGATTATATAGTGAAAAAGCAAAATTTCTCTGAAAATATTCTTTTCTGCTTCTGGTTAAAAAGCAAAGAAGCTAAGTGTATAGTTATGATGAGCATGATTACTTCTTCCAGAGTAGTGAATTGCATGACCCCTGGGTCAGATGTGCTGGTGTAAGGGTGGGGCTCTTGATAATGTAGTGAAAATACATTAATTCTGTTAAATAATCCTGTCTGCTCCTTAGTGTTAATCAGATAAACAAAGTGATTACTTACATGTATGATGAATAAACTTCTGGTCCCAGGGTGAGAGACTCTGGTGTTTCTCGGTGGGGATGGGAGGTAGGGGGGGGGGGGGGCTGGGGGGCTCTATTGATAATGTAGTGAATCTGTAGTAAAAACTGCATTATTTCTTTGAAAATCTTCTCTGCACCTGGGCATATCAGAGGCAAAAAGAGTAAAAGTTTAATAAATATTTTTGAACATCTGGGCCATTTTGTCAAGTGTTCTGGTCCTGGCCAGGGCTCTATTAATTTGTATTCTACTGAGGGGAGTTATTCCCCTTTGCCATTTACTTTTGATAATTAGTCACTGTAAATAATGTACTTGAAAGGTTAATAGAATAAGAGAATTTTGCAAGATTTTTTATTGTATAATACAAAAAGTACTTTCATAGTTTTAATGATCAGGTAGACTTGTAAGTAATAGATAAATAAAAATGAGACAAAAATAACTTGTCTTATTCAATGTTCATCAAAGACCAAGAGAGTCCAATGTAAGAGATTTCAACAGGGAATTAAAATAGTACAGAAGCATTGATAGTTTGTTAATATACTGTATGGTGATAGTGATAAATGGGGAACAGATTAGAACCTAATTCATGAACTGTTAATGAACACTAGACTAATTATTTTGTTGAACCTGATCACCCTATTTTTCTTGCTTTTGGGCAACAAAGCTTCACTTTTCAGTTCATTTTATACTCTATGGATTCTCTAAATTGTTGTATTATACTCAGGTGACCGTTAAGGCCCTTGGGCCTCTTGTTGCATTTGGTATTTCCACTGCTTTGCTGTTGTTCCTTACTCTACTCTTTTATTATCTAGCAAAGGAGTCCGCAATTTTATCAATAAAGTCAATAGAAATCACTGGATTGACCAAGCCATGAGGTATGTGTTAGCATTTTCTATGCTAATGCATAGCTCATGGCTTGGTCAATCCAGTGATTTTTATTGACTTTATTGATAAAATAGCGAACTCCTGTGTATATCTAGTAAGCTAAGTAATAATTTTCAACTATCCTGTTAAAGTGTTGTCACAGTTTCCCTTATATTGTTTATTGGATTAGAACCTTCAGTATGACCTTGTAGTAGCAATTTTTAATTCTCTTAAAATCACAGAATTTATATATATATATAATATATATCTACCAGTATATACTTGTCAGTATTGTTATGAGTTGTTGGTATTCAACACTATTTCTGAAAACAGTCAAGACACATTTCTCTGGATACTCGTGCTCCCAAGCAAATCGTCTGGACTAATGAAGCATCCAGATAAACAAGTCATGGCTCCACTGTATACACTTTTGATCAAGTTTATTGCATTGTAGCCCTCAGTATAACAGTTTGGGGTTACCTGTAAATATATATACATTAAGGCTATATTTGAGGTGTCCAAGGATAAAAACAAGAAAATCATAAGATACCCATGGCTTGAAGATTTTTAAACATCGTATTTTTATAGCTACATATGTAAAAGACTGCAGAATGTTCTCTTCTGATTAAAAAGTTTACAAAGAAGCAACTTTTTTTCCTTTAAATATTCTTTGCAGAAGAAAAGAATTTTTAGAGAATGCATATATAGGATCTATAATTATACTTTAATTCAGTCATTGTAAATTTTGATTTTATTATTATAGTGCTGATGTTGGCATGTTGCTAATTTTACATTTTTTGTTTTCTGCCTAAATATGCTGAGTAGTCAGCTTTGTGTCCAAGTAACTTATAACACTTTTAATTGTAAATTTGTCATGGAATTGCCATTAATATTGACACAAGAAAATTTGATCAAGGGCTCGATCTGAAGAAATAAAATGAAACATAACATTACAGCAGACATTTAAAGTGAACAATAAACCTTTATCACAGAACCTAAATCGCTTTGAAGATAAAAATCTTTCTACTTTACCATTCTGAATATTTAAACATGTTATTTTAAACAGTTTAATAAATGATCAGATATATTACATATTTGATAAGTTTCTTGATAAGGGCTGGAGGATTTAAATGCACCTTAAAGTATACAATCCCCTGCATTAAGACTTTTCTCCATTATAATGGCTCAACATTTATTATACTTGTCCACACTTGCACTTTCTCTTGATTCCTAAGAAGGAAGGCTCAAATCCCTTGTGATTTATAATTGGAAAGTATTGTTCAGAATGTCTTGTTTCTGAATTATTTAAACAAGATGTTAAGTCCTCTATTTTTTCCAGTGTTGATTACAGGTACTTAAAATTACTAAGTATTTGATATACACATATTTAATTCATATGTCTTAACATTGTAACCATGGAGGCAATATTGGTACGGGGTGATTTTTTACAATAAACGTACAAGTTGATAGCATGAATTCTGAATAACTTATGAGTTGTTATTGATCAGACAGAGATTTCAGGACTGTGTCTTTTTTCTGTGTTGATTCTACTGATTATTCCATATTGGTTTTGTAAAAAAAATATCATAACAATCAGAATCTAGATACAGAAAGATTAATGCACTACTAGCAGAGGGTTTTTTTTACTGTTATTATTTTTAATATTAAAAAAAAAAAAACAGTTAATAATCCCCTGAAAACTAGAAAGTTTTGCATCTAGAAAATAAAGTATAAAATCAATGTCATTAAGAGTTAAATGCATCTATTTAATGATTTAGTTCTACAAGAAGTTTTTTTTTTTTTTGACAGGTCCAAAACCTCCTACAACAGATGCAGGATAAATTCCAGGGAATGTCTGACCAGATTATCAATAGGAATATCCTTCACAAAAATTCTATAAATACCAAAAATATTTAAGTTTCATTGAAACTGATGTTGTAAAACTGATCTTTTCCCCATACAGAATATTCCATGTTCTTGAAATTCTCATTCACATATTATACATGTAATTATATATTATATATAGTAAGAAATGATGAATGTCTTGCGTAGTTTTCCTTAACACTTTTACTTGATGAAATGGGGAACCGCATTGATGATTTGGAGAAGAACATTGCTGACCTAATGACGCAGGCAGGAGTGGAAGATCGCGCCTAGTATCCCAGCATTCCATCAGTATTTTCTGTGTGGTTTTAGATGTGTGCCTTAGTGATCAGTGTTTCTGCACCTACCATTAGTTCATCTTCCTGAACGAATGGAACAAAAAATTATGAATGCAATAATGTTTTGAAAAATAAGTACATTTGACATTATAAGATTTTGGTATACATGTACTGTGTCAGCATAATTTCCACAACCTGCAGGCTTTTAATTGCATTAATAGTTCAGTGAGAGCTATACAATCGATCATTGATGGAAAATTTCTCTTGACTTGTTCTGACCATTGTGATAAGTGTAATATTATTTATTCCATTTTGTGTTTTATTCATGTATCACAAATATATTATAGTTTTATATACAGCTTTGTTATTTTTATATTTGTTAGAATTTATGCTCACCAGACTTTATGACCAAGGTTTATCTGGCAGTTAAGACACAGACTGACAGACAACTAAATACACTGGTGTAACAGGAAAGGAGAAAATGTATGGCTGGACCGGGAATCGAACCCGGGACCCCTGCATCACTAGTCAGGTGCTCTACCAACTGAGCTACCCAGGCCAATATCAAAGGCACAAACCATTACATTCCTGACTCCTTAAATTGTCTTCGCCCTTGAAGACACAACCCAAGTTCTTATTATCCCCTGGCAGGACTTTCACCTGCAAGTCCAGGAGTGGTCAATGGCACCAAATCTGTAACAGGAAAGGAGAAAATGTATGGCTGGACTGGGATTCGAACCAGGGATCCCTGCATCACTAGTCAGGTGCTCTATTGACTGAGCTACCCAGGCCGATATCCATTACACTGGTAATGTTCTTATCAGAGTTGATATCTCTTCATGTCACACAAAGTAAGAATTTCACAGAAATAGTACAAAGCAGATACACAATATCTTGATCTTCTCAAGTAATCATTTAGTTTTTAACAGTCTCTCTCTCAAATAACAGTCTCACAAATATATTATACAGTTGAACTTCGGTATCTTGAACAGGGGTATCTCGAATACCACGGATATGTCTAAGTGATTTGGAGGTCCCAAGAACTTTTTCTTTAAGTATTTTACCCTCAATATCTCAAACCCTTGGATATCTCGAAGTTTTTTCTTGGTCTCATCAAGTTCAAGATAATGAAGTTTGACTGTAGTGTTATATACAGCTTTCTTATTTTTATATTTGTTAGATTTTACACTCGGCAAACTTTATGACCAAGGTTTATCTGGCAGTTATCAGTCTCAAACTTCGCCATCTTATTATGATGCATCCTTGTGTAATTCTAATGTGGATTAAAATTGTTGAAATAAAAATACTGGCAAAGGTTTCGTCAATCGTACCCCTGCTCTGATGTAAATACACAAGTTCAGTTATGGACAGAAACAGTGATAAACAGGAAGTTGACATCGGATTTGTACAAAAATGAATCCCAACATATGGCATGCCTAAAACAGAGGTGCTAAAATTTCAAGCATCTGTGATGAGTAGTTACTGAGAAAACTGCCACCTAAATTTTGGTATGTATGGTACGGACAGACACACGGATAAACAGGAAGTTGACATCGGATTCGTACAGAAATGAATCCCACCATATGACATGCCTAAACAAAAAGTGTGCTAAAATTTCAAGCATCTGCAATGTGTAGTTGCTGAGAAAACTGCGGCCAATATTTGTTATGTATGGTAAGGACAGATGCACAGATAAACAGAAAGTTGACATCAGATTCATACAGAAATGAATCCCACCATATGACATGCCTAAACAAAAAGTGTGCCAAAATTTCAAGCATCTGCGATGAGTAGTTGCTGAGAAAACTGTGACCAAAATTTGTTATGGTACGGACAGATGCATGGATAAACAGGAAGTTGACATCGGATTCATACAGAAATGAATCCCAGCATGAAGCATGCCTAAACAAAAAGTGTGCTAAAATTTCAAACATCTGCGATGAGTAGTTGCTGAGAAAACTGCAACCAAAATTTGTAATAGTACGGATAGATGCAAACATAAACATGAAGTTGATATCGGATTCATACAGAAATGAATCCCACCATATGGCATGCCTAAACAAAAAGTGTGCTAAAATTTCAAGCATCTGAGAGTAGTTGCTGAGAAAACTGTGACCAAAATTTGTTACAGACAGACACACAGCTAGACAGACAGAAGATAGACGGACACACAAGGGTAAAACAGTATACCCCCTCTCCTTCGGAGCGGGGGTATAAAAAGCCTTATTTCCTATGTAGCTTGTAACACCAGCTTTGATTGGTTACAAAGTCTGGTGTAAATTTCCGTACACCCGACCTGAGCCAGGGGTAAAAAATGTGACGTCACAATGCATAGTTTCTCTACGATAAAAAGCAATTAACATGACGTCACGATGCATTGTAGGATGTAGTAAATCTTATCAATAGCTTGAAACACAGTTGATTGGACTTGTTTACAAAGAATTTATTTGAATACATAGGAAATAAATTCATTATCCAGGTCCAATCAAGGGTGTACGGGGATTTACCCCGGGTTGTATTCCATACACCCTTCGGGCTCAGGGTGTATGGAATACAACCTGGGGTAAATCCCCGTACACCCTTGACTGGACCTGGATAACTAATAATATTAGCTGCTAGTAAATACTAGCAGTAAGTTGCAGAACTAACTCTCTGGTTGAGAAAATTCGGACAGGCAAACCAGAGAGCTACAGATCCATTGTAAAAACCTTCAATTTACGGCAACGTTTTTTGTTGCTCACTTCAGGTATTATTTCTTGTATTTTATGCGTTCCTCACTTTAAACATGGTTTCCATGAATTTGAATTACCATATTACTAGGGATGTCAATTTTGTCAATAATTCATATTCGAATATTCAATGAAAGTATTCGAATATATTCGAATATTCGATAAAATAAATAAAATCTGTTTTATTTTAAATATGCATCATCCTACTCTCGTAGGTATACTTATATAGGAAGTAAAATTGTATGAAGACTTTTGTAGGTGTACAATAAGAAATTACATTTGATATTTGTCAATGTTTGAAATAAATAATTGATTTAAATGTAGAAAAGTGTAATTTTAACAAATGAAACGTGTATTTATAGTAGCTCCAACTGAGGAACCAGTCGTCTTACAAAAGGCAAGATAGTCGTAACGGTATACTGTTCAGATTTCAATACGTGTAATAAATTACAATTATCTGCCTGATAAGAGATATGATTATAATCTTTGATACAATGTAAACAAATATTTCCATAGACAATTTTCCTAGGTAATTTTAAAACTGTTTTCTCGATAATGAATACAAATTATGTACAACCCGAGATAATTTACACATTTATTCTGAAATTAAGCCCTTTACAATATTAATTACAGTTTAATTCTATCGGACATTCATTCAATGATCAATTAATTTTATTTTGATACGTATGCTATTCACGCCTTTTAGATATTCTTAGATTTCATTTGTTGCCCTCGATTCTAGATCCAATCGTATCTATAACTAATAAAAGCTATGAAAGTACGTTTTGTATTATACATAAAGCATTATTGTACAATTCTTTACAACACCTTACTCAAAACCAAATACATGTAATTTAGAAAATTTATAAGATAAGAAAGTAGTGAAAGAAATCAGTCGATCGAAATTGATCGCTAGTAAATTAAACAGGGATAATCCGAGCACTGTTCTAATCAAAATTCATTAATCACAGTACTTCTTTTTATGAAATCTGAAAAACACCGAATATTCGAATCTTAAATTCATATTCGAATATCAACTCATCGAATGAATATTCGAATGTTCGAATATTCGTTGCCATCCCTACATATTACTTATACCTGATTCCTAAACTACATGAAAATCTTTACAAACAAAGATACATGGGTTCCAGTAAATGTTCTACCAAGGCTCTTTCTTAACTCCTCACTAAAATATTAACAGCAGTGAAGGAGAAAGTATAACAATATATTTGAGAAGTGGTGTAAATCAGATGTGGATACTTAAATACTCCAAGGAACTTTCAGAAAATTTGAAATCACATAATTTTACCAAAATCAATAACATATCAATACGTATGACTTTTCAACACTTTATACAAACATTCCCCAAGATAGATTTAAGTCCAAACTTTTTGTCATCCCAGACAGCTGCTTTTTCAATACAAGAGGCCCAAGGGCCCTTAACAGTCACCTGAGTATAATGTAATGATCCATAGATTAAAAGCTGATAAATGAAGCTATGTTGCCCAAATGCAAGAGAAATAGGATGATCAGGGATCAGCAAAATTTTAATTTACAGTGTAGTACTCAGCAACAAATCTTAAAGTTGATCTATTTATTTGCTAGTACTTTCCCAGATTTGTCACTAGCCTCACGCAGACAAAACAATAGTTCTAGAGCACTATTAGTTAACACATTCCATTCCCCCTCAAATTGGTCTCTCTTATTCTTTGAAGATTATTTAATGTATATATTTAGATACAATATTTTTGTCCCATTTTCATTTATCTATTATTTAAAAGTCGACCTGACCATTAAAAACTATGAAAGTACTTTTTGTATAAAATATTATAAAAATTCTTGTATAATTCTGTAATTTAATTGACCTTTTAAGTTACATTATTTACAGTGATTAACTATCATAGGTGAATAGCAAAGGGAAATAACTTCTTTCAGTAGGAATTAATAAATTGACCAGAGGGTACAGAATTTGAAAATCTGGTAAAAGCACCCTTGCTTATTACAACTTTATATACTCTGCCTCCTAGATGCCCAGGAGCAGAGAAGAAGATTTTCAAGGAAATAATCCATTTTCATTAAACATGCATTCAATATATCCTCATCCCTAAAACCAGAGCCCCTGACCCAGGGACCAAGATATTCACAATTTTGGAAGAAGCACTCTTGCTCATCATAACATTGCACTTAGTATGTTTTGTTAATAATAATGGACAGAGAAGAAGATATCTTCAAAGAAATAAATAAATGCATTTCTACTACAAGTTTCCTCACAAAAAAAAATTGAGGTCCTGACCAGGCATTTGTGCAAGATATCAGAGGTTGTGTTTCCTTTGTAATCCTTTGGCAATCTTTTGAAAATACCAATATTACAATTTTTGATATACTTATTTTTTTAAAGACATTTTAAAAACAATTTTAAAATCAAAAGAGAATGACAATAATAAATAATAATGCCCCCTTCGAAGAAGGAAGGGCATATTGCTTTGTTGCTGCCTGTCTGTCAGTCCACCAACAGTTTCTGTTCATTTTCTTTCCAGAGATAATGAAATTTGGTATACAGATTTATCATAAGAATATCTAGGTCAAGTTCTGTTTTGGGTACGATCGAGCAATTTTTGACAGAGTAATGCCCCTTGGACTTTGAAAATGCAGTTTCCATTCATTTTTAGCTCACCTGAGCCGAAGTCTCAAGTAAGCTTTTCTGATCACATTTTGTCTGGTGTTCGTCTGTCTGTAAACTTTTCACATTTTCGACTTCTTCTCAAGAACCACTTGGCCAATTTTGACCAAACTTGCCACAAAGTATCCTTGGATAAAGGAGATTTAAATTTGTTCAAATGATAGACCACTTCCTCTTTCAAGGGGAGATAATTAGGAATTAGTGAAAAATTAATGGCATCTTTTAAAAATCTTCTTCTCAAGAACCATTGGGCCAGGAAAGATTGAGCCTTATGTGGAAACACCCTCAGGTAGTGTAGATTCAAGTTTGTTCAAATCATGGCCCCCGGGGCAGGAAAATATTTTTAAAAATCTCCTTCTCAAGAACAGCAAAGCCATGATTGGTCATATTTATATGGAAGCATCCTCAGGTATTTGTTTGAATTATGACCCCCGGGGGTAAGGCGGGGCCACAACGGGTGATCGAAGTTTAACATAGGAATACATAGGAAAATTTTTTAAAACTCTTTAGAACAGCAAAGCCATTTGTTACATTGATATGGAAGCATTTTAAAATTCAGCCCCCCCCCCCCTTTAAACTTTTAGATACTGAGCTGATTTTTGCATATTTCCTAGCCAATGTGCTCAGGTGAGCGATGTGGCCCATGGGACTCTTGTCTTTGCAGAGGTTGCACATACTGAAATGAAATTTGGTATACAGATTTATAATAAAAATATCTAGGTCAAGTTCTGTTTTGGGTATGATCGAGCGATTTTTGACAGAGTTATGCCCCTTGGACTTAGAAAAAAATTGGCATCTCTTGTTTTCTATATATTATGAAGAGATACAAAACAGATGTTTAAGGAAAGTTTTGTCAGACTATAATTATAACTAAATCATCAGGCAGATAATTCTAATTGAATACCTGTATTAAATCTGAACATAAGAAAATGTTGCCCGTCGTAAGACAATCAATTCATTATTTGGAGCTTTAAAATATCATTTTTAGCTCACCTCAACGAAGATGGAGGGAGCTATGTAATACCCTCAGCATCAGTGTTGGCTTCCCAAGTTAAAGTTTTTGGAGATTTCTTTTCAAGTACTTCTATTCCCTATATTGATCAAGAGATGCGTGGATGATGCTTTTATTAGGTTTCACTTTACCAGTTCAGGTTCAGTATAATGCTGCATTTTCACCCAAAGAATTACCACTCAATATTTTGACCTTGAAGTTTGACCCAGTCTATATACTTTTTAAAAACTTTAACCTTGGCCATAACTTTTGAACAGTTAGCACTAAGGCTTTCAAATTTCACAGGTATATTCCTTGTGACAAGACCTTCCTTTGAATACCAACAAATTGAACAATTTTGACCTTAAAGTTTGACCTACTTTTGAAAAACTTGAACTTTTGCCATAACTTCTGAACAGTTGGTGCTAGGGCTTTTATATTTTGCATGTGTATTTCTTATAACAATGTCTTCCCTTGTGTACCATTAATTTTTATCATTTACCTTGACATTTGACCCACTTTTAGAATACATTAAACTTGACCATAACTTTTGAATGGCTGGTGCTTGGGCTTTCACATTTACCAGGGATATCCAATGACACCTTACTTTGGGTAACAACATTTTTGATCTCTTGACCTTGGAGTTTGACTTGGATTTGAGAAAATTTAATCTTTGCCTTAAGCTGCCATACGAGGGCATCAGTGTTTCACAAACATGTTTTTTCTCTTTTTCTTTGAGTAATCTTCATCTCAGGACAAGCTCTCACCAAACTGGGTGGACAAAATTTAATGACAGCTAGAACATTCTATTAAATCTCAGTGTTTTCCCTTCATTTCAAAGTAAAGGGATAGAGATTAATTGTATGGGTTGAGGTTTATGAACAAAACTCTGTGGACCTTACAATAATTAAATTTTAGATTTTTGATTTCAGCACGTTAAAGGTGGCATTTTTCTCGATTAAAGTGGTCAATCTGGCCAGTAGTCGGTACTTAGGGAAAGCATTGAATCTCTCTCTATGGTCAAAACATAGGTAATCAAAGATTACGAAGCTCACCTCGACAAATGTTATCTTTAAGTAAGGCAAATTTCACATATTTTTTTTTATTTAGTGTACATCCCAAGATCAATGTCCATGCAAGTTTGGTTTAAGTATGACTTATAGTTACTTGGAAATAGACCTGTTCAAAAAACATTTATCCTGTTTACTAATCAAGAAAATTTTGTCAGTTCCAACATCCAAAATAAGTCTGGAAGTTTTCATCCTTAGATGCACCATCTATGCAAGTTTAATCATAACAGGCCATAATGTTATATAGCTACTCCAAAAAAATTATCCTAGTCACTCATCTGGAAAATGTAGGTCAGATTCAGAATCCAAAGCAAGTCTATCTAGAAGTGACCATCCCTAGCTACATCATCCATGCTAATTTGGCTAAAACATGACTAAAATTCACTCATGTGGAATATCTAGGTTGAATCCAGCATCCAAAGCAAGTGTGATAGTGTCCATCCATAGATGCATCATCCGTGCAAGTTTGGTCAAGGTAGAGCTTATAGTTACTTGGGAATGGACCTGCTCCAAAAACTTTAACCTGGTCACTCGTCTGGAAAATCTGTCAGATCCAGCATCCGAAGCAAGTGTGGTAGTGCCCATCCCTAGATCCATCATCCATGCAAGTTTGGTCCAGGTAGGGCTTATAGTTACTTCGGAATGGACCTGCTCCAAAAACTTTAACCTGGTCACTCGTCTGGAAAATCTAGGTCAAATCCAGCATCCGAAGCAAGTTTGATAGTGTCTATCCCTAGATGCATCATCCATGCAAGTTTGGTCAAGGTAGGGCTTATAATTACTTGGGAATGGACCTGCTCCAAAAACTTTAACCTGGTCACTCGTCTGGAAAATCTAGGTCAAATCCAGCATCCGAAGCAAGTTTGATAGTGTCTATCCCTAGATGCATCATCCATGCAAGTTTGGTCAAGGTAGGGCTTATAATTACTTGGGAATGGACCTGCTCCAAAAACTTTAACCTGGTCACTCATCTGGAAAATCTAGGTCAAATCCAGCATCCGAAGCAAGTGTGGTAGTGTCTATCCCTAGATGAATCATCCAAGCAAGTTTGGTCCAGGTAGGGCTAATAGTTACTTGGATATGGACCTGCTCCAAAAACTTTAATCTGGTCACTCATCTGGAAAATGTAGGTCAGATCCAGCATCCGAAGCAAGTGTGGTAGTGTCCGTCCCTAGATGCATCATCCATGCAAGTTTGGTCCAGGTAGGGCTTATAGTTACTTGGGTATGGACCTGCTCCAAAAACTTTAACCTGGTCACTCGTCTGGAAAATCTGTGTCAGATCCAGCATCTGATGCAAGTGTGGTAGTGCCCATCCCTAGATGCATCATCCATGCAAGTTTGGTCCAGGTAGGGCTTATAGTTACTTCGGAATGGACCTGCTCCAAAAACTTTAACCTGGTCACTCGTCTGGAAAATCTAGGTCAAATCCAGCATCCGAAGCAAGTTTGATAGTGTCTATCCCTAGATGCATCATCCATGCAAGTTTGGTCAAGGTAGGGCTTATAATTACTTGGGAATGGACCTGCTCCAAAAACTTTAACCTGGTCACTCGTCTGGAAAATCTAGGTCAAATCCAGCATCCGAAGCAAGTTTGATAGTGTCTATCCCTAGATGCATCATCCATGCAAGTTTGGTCAAGGTAGGGCTTATAATTACTTGGGAATGGACCTGCTCCAAAAACTTTAACCTGGTCACTCATCTGGAAAATCTAGGTCAAATCCAGCATCCGAAGCAAGTGTGGTAGTGTCTATCCCTAGATGAATCATCCAAGCAAGTTTGGTCCAGGTAGGGCTAATAGTTACTTGGATATGGACCTGCTCCAAAAACTTTAATCTGGTCACTCATCTGGAAAATGTAGGTCAGATCCAGCATCCGAAGCAAGTGTGGTAGTGTCCGTCCCTAGATGCATCATCCATGCAAGTTTGGTCCAGGTAGGGCTTATAGTTACTTGGGTATGGACCTGCTCCAAAAACTTTAACCTGGTCACTCATCTGGAAAATCTAGGTCAGATCCAGCATCTGATGCAAGTGTGGTAGTGCCCATCCCTAGATGCATCATCCATGCAAGTTTGGTCCAGGTAGGGCTTATAGTTACTTGGGTATGGACCTGCTCCAAAAACTTTAACCTGGTCACTTATCTGGAAAATCTAGGTCAGATCCAGCATCCAAAGCAACTGTGGTAGTGTCCATCCCTAGATCCATCATCCATGCAAGTTTGGTCAAGGTAGGGTTTTTAGTTACTTGGGAATGGACCTGCTCCAAAATCTTTAACCGGGATGCCGACACCGATGCCGGGGGTATAGCATAAGCTCATCTCGACTTCATCGAGGTGAGCTAAAAATATATGCATATTGTTCATTTCTTAGCCTACATGTAGGAAAAACTTTTGACAGATCAATATATTCAATTACTCAGCAACAATATTTACTTGGACTAATTTTGACCAAACTACAACTTAATTTGACATTTTTGACATTAAAGCACACATGAGTCAATACAGAATCTTTTTTATCTTTAGTTAAGGGAAGTAAATCTGACTTGGATTTCAATACAACTCCTAATTTATATAAAAGACAACAAATTTGTGGATTTGCACATTTATTAATAGCAACCTAATCAGCTGTTTCAAAATCTTAATATGCAATACTTATTGAAAGTTATTAAAACTTTCACAACTAGAACATGACGTAGTGATGACAAGAAGCCACTGTTAACTACAGTATCTGTGATACATATCCTACACACACACTGCAGAGGTCAAGCCTGAATTCTCACTAATAGTTGAAACTGTTGGCTTATATCTAGGATGGAACACCCCCATCCCACCCCTCCCCCATTTCCCAACTTCCTTTTAATTGACACTGCCTTTCCAGTGATTTATTTTTTTTTCCATAGCAATTTGAAAACATTCTTATTTACAAATGGAATAAAGAAACTTTACAAATTTTTTGAAACCCAAAATTAAGATTTTTGTAAAAAGAGATGATATTATTCAGGGCTCTCGATTGTATATATTTGGGGCTGTTCAAAGGCCCCATTCCCAATTCAAAAAAGGCACCTTTTTTCACAATTGAATGTGTTAATTTTCCCAATCTCTCACTTCCCCAAATATTAAAGAACGTTTAGTAAGATATATATAGTTACTAAACTTGTAATTCATATTTCTCTGCATTACAAAACAGAAATTTAGTTGATAACCACCACCAGAAACTCAATATATCATAAATTTAATGCATAATGTCTAGTTATGATTTTCCCCAAATTACCCAAAAGGTCGCTAATTTTCCTAATTTTTACGACCCTGTCCCCAGTCCCAAAAAGTGGTGTGAGAGCCCTGTTATGTTAAAAGATAGGGTTGCCATAGTAACAAAACAAGCTGGCTCTCGGCAGTGGTGACAAAATGAGGGTGTGACAACATGTTAACATCAGTCAGCAATGATGACGTTATAATTCTTATTCTCCTCTTAGAAGTACAAGCACTGTGATATGCTAAATATTGACAACCTAAAAACAGCTTCTTAAAACTACAACAACCAAAAAAAAAAATGCAAAGAAAATGCCTTTGTTAACCAACCTAACATCTCAATTAATTTTAAAATGCCTTAAAATGAACACGATCAAGTATAACAGTTCATATTTATGGTCTTTCTGCGATCGCAACATTTAGAGGCAGAATTCATAACTCTTGATTATGATAATAGGAAAATGTAGCCAAAATCATAAAAAGTAATCAGATACAAAATTGTAAATAGAATCTGAAGACTATAAAATGTTGTCAAATCACAGACTGTCGAAATACAAATGTCAGATCATGAAATGTAAAATCAAAACAATGCTTAGGCAGCTTAAATACAGTCTATTCTAATACCTAGACTTACCAAATTAACAATCAAAATTATGAGGTGGCACTCTGCTGCAGTTTTATGATGGTGGTGATGAGTGGTGGTCTATGCATATCATGTATAAAGTATGTACTGTATAATGCCTGATAATGAAGAAATTTCAAAATGTACAACTCTGTAATATGTTAATCAAATGTAAATAAGAATCTGTCAACAAGGTTTTATTTGTTTATTTTTTCTTGGATTTCCTTTTTTATATCTTTTGTGTGTGTGTGTGTGTGGGGGGGGGGGGGGGGGGGGCAATTTTTCAAAACATTTCCTAGGAAATACATAAAAATTCAGAATTTCTTCTCAATAAATCTCACTTAATTTAAGTTTTTTTTTATGTAACTGTTGAAATATTTGTTTTTTTATGTTGAAAAAAAAGTATGTGAGTAAACATTCAAAAATGAAAAAAAGGAATAATTTTCCAACATGTAGCCACTATTGCACATAAATGTTTGCTATATATGTTAATGGGTAAATAACAGCACCTTAATACTCAGAATAGAAGATATTGCACACCAGCGTAAACTCAACACAGATCATAATAGAGAGTTTAAAGCACTGAGACTCAGGAGTCAAAAACATGTCTTACCATCAAGTATCATTTGCATACAAGCTTTGAAAAAAAAAGAAACTTTAAAAGACTTCTGACAACATGAAGTAAAAAACAAAGGTTTATATTAACACTAGGGATAAAGCTAAGTTTATATAACAATGCTTCACTGACACATCTAGTCCTGAGACTGGGTTCCTTCTGACAACTCAGTCTCATACACTGTACCACTGTTGTAACAACCCTAGTCCATTACAATGTCAGACATTACACTGAACAAGAGTTTTATCATATGCACCAAGGAAAAAAAAAAGCTTAAAAATACAAAACATTTTTTGTTTCAAATAAATTACATTACAAATTGTGTACAATAATATATCAAATCAACAAAACATCTGTAAATACATGTAAATGTAACTGTGATAGTTTTGTTTTGTGTACGTGTCTGATACAATTAAGCACCATGTGCTCATGTTTGTATGTGTGTTTAGTCTTTACCCACTTTGTAATCTGTATGTCATTCATTTGTATATGCACGCCTAATTTGTATGGAGAGCACTAACAGACACTGCCTGTTGCCCAATCCATTCAAATGTTTATAAATAAATATTGTTTACAAAACAAAGCAATAATCAATAAAAAAAAATATCTGTCTGGTTTCTTTTTGCTAGATTTTTGTCACACACATACAAAAGAATTTTTTTCAGTATTAATTATTGATTTTATGTATATAACTCCATCAGAAAAACATCATACTAATATTGCTAATAGTAGTTTTTAGAATACTGGGCTCACTGTACATTTAAATCATACCAAAATAGGTAAATGTGTGAAATCACACATAAATCTGACTGGAAAACAAGTCTCAAAAAAAACTACCTTATAGATTCTTACAACAATATGCAGAGTTTGTAAAGTTAAAGAAAAATTATATGCAAAATTTGTACTGCTTCAATGTATACAAGAAAACTTCTTTTGCCATTAGTACTAATTGCTATTATTAAAGTTACTTAAAATAACTAAAAACATTGGAACAAAGTGTAATGCCATACTGTGTTGTACCCTTTATCAAAGCAATGAATGAAGAATGATATAAATATTGTACTCGTTGTAGTCTGACAGCCATAAATACATGTACAGCATAGAAAACTAACTGCTCTAAAAACTTTTTAGAAAAATCAGATCATTATCAAGTCAACATTAAGAAAATATCATGAATCAGGACCTTAAATAAGCAGATAATAATGATATAAATGAAATTATAAATTTGTCGGACATCCAAATGCAGAAATTGTAATTACAAATTCGACAAATTCATTATCCATCACAATGAAAAAGTAACAAATGTAAACATCTGGTGATGCTCAACATAATGAAATGTATGAGATAATAAATATTAAAAGGCAAATATTGAGCCATTATTTATAGAAGGAGGTAATTCCATAAAACACAGTATATTTACAATCCTCATACAATTATACACTTTGTTTATGTACATATAAATGAGAACCGGGAAATTCTTAATTTGTTTTCAAAACAACAAATTTAATTAATAAACATATGTGTACAAATACATGTATCTGGCACCTTTTCTAGTACTGATTTTCTTCGATCCAACCTTTTATTTTCTTTGGAAGAGGAAGCTGCTGAATATGGTCATAGCGTGTGTACTGGCGAATAACAAAACGACATAAATACTGTAGAGAACGCACTTGAGTAAATCGTGAAACAGGTTTTGTCAGCCTCACAGGGAATGATGGAGCACCAGGGGACCTTGATCGTGAATAACAGAAAATGCCCGTTTGAGAGTCATTCATCGAATGTTCTATCAAATCCACTATAGAGGGATACCCCTCTGTCTCAGGCTGAGCATAAAAGCTAAACATTCCATTGCAATGTTCGATGCGTGTGTGCCATGTCCGGCCATAAGATCTAAAACTTAAACTTAGCAGGTATCGTTCATCAGAACTGTCCCGAACAAGGAAAGCACCGTTTTGTTGATTGGCAAGTTTATCCTCTGCCTCCACTCGTGTTATAGGGCCCCAGTACCATCCAAACTTTGAAAGTCGAAATAGTTCCTGCGTCAAATTCCAGACTTTGGGTGCCTCTCGTTCCTCATCACAATCAGTAAAAGTTGTGGCTCTTGTCACCTCAGTTCTAGCTTCCAGATATGGAAAAGACATTTTCTCTGGACAAATATTACCCTCTTTCAAACTACCATTTTTTACAACACATTCCTTTGGTAGCTGGTCACTCTTACATTTTTCTGTCACTTGAAATCGAGCCATATCTTTAGTCTTACAGCTTGCTTTGTCTTTTTTCACATTCATATCATATGCATCAGTATTATTCTGTATGTCACACAGTTTTTGGAAACTGTTTGAGGTAATATTCAGATCTAAGCTATCACAACTATGAGACGACGAGTTGGATTTGGAAGAGTGATCAGGTGGCTTCCATTTATTCTTGCGTTTTTTCGTATCACGCTTTGAAGGCACAGTCATGTAATGGTCCTCGATATGGTCGCTCTCGTGGCCGTCATCACTTTTACGGCGGAGATTCGTAGTCAGACGGCGTTTGAAACTCTTCAGCAACCCTATCTTCTCTTTTTTCCTTACCTCATGAGTGGATTCTGGAGGCGATGGAGTGTTGGTTTCAGATGTTGAATCTCCATCAACCATTCCAGATCCATCTTCGGGCGAACTTCGTCGATGACGGTGTAACGAAAGCTTTACACTTTTAAACGTAATACGCTTCATCATCTGTGAGTCAAATGTGGTGTCATGGTTACTGAAAAATCCAAAATATTTGCAAAATTACGTCAATACTGACTTTCGCTGGGTGATACCCAAGTTGTGAGCAATTCGCGCATGCGTTTTACCTACATCCGGTTACTTCGCAGAAAAAATATTTTCGTCAGAAACTTGTTAGACAGTTTATGCAAATGGTCATTTACAGATGGTCAATAATGCTAGACTCCAATATTGCTCACATTTCTTAACAAATCAAATGTTACAGGAGAATAATTCTTTAATCACATTTCAAGCAAAAACGTAAGGTTTTACTAAATCACGAAAACCCAACACAGTGGTGAACACTATTTCGGGGCAGGCTAATCATGCTACATGTAATACATATACTAGTATTGCATCTCACAATATTCAATTCAATTCAATTAGTTTATTTACAAATTAAGGGCCCTCATGGGGCAAAAAGAAAGTACACTGTAAATTAACATTTATATATAGTCATATACCATGTAATACAATATATACATACACACAAGATAGAAAGAGTTGCATGATTGATAGGAGAATAAGCATTGTTAAATGACCCTCTGCTCAAAATTTCACAATTTTTTTTAAACTTCCCAACAATTGATTTTCATCAAGAGCTATAGCATCAGCTTCGAATGGAAAACAGTATGAGGTATGAAGCGCTGCTTATTTTTTCAGAGATGATTTTATGTCAGATCATGATATGAAGAAATTTTAACACAGAGGATAGAAAGAGTAATAATTTATTATCACAACATAAAATTAAAATTGTGAGGTGTGTAAGAAAATAATAACAGTTGTTGAATATTTCTGGATTTTGATATAAATTTGCATCATTTTAAAATATACATCAATCCATGCATCCATTAAAAAATAATCCATTGGCATTAATATGTTTGCAGCAAGCGCTATCATTTTAACGATGCAATGTTCATCTTGAACATGTTGAATCCGTCCCATTGTACATTGTTGTATACGTGACATAGAACAATGCTGCAGATGTGGTTTTTATACAAGAATTTATATCTGTGCGAAATATAATCCTTTTCAGACTGAATAAAAGAGGTTTCTGTAAATTTCTTTCACTCTTCAGGGGGACCGATCCTCTGATAAGAGAGATAACTTTCTAAGTAAAAAATACGAATACTATACTCATAGTTTTCATCATCAGAGTTTCATTATCGAAACCTTGAAGTAGTCAATTCGACCAAACCTTACATAAGATGGAAACTTTAGCTTCTATTTCCTTTGCCTAAACTTTTCAAAGTAATTGTTTTATTATGTTTAATAAATAGCATTTAAATCCAGTATTAAAAGCCTTATAAATTGAATAAGTTCTATCTTTTTAAGGACCATTTTAAAAATTGTTTAATATTTCAAGTACCAAATGTAGAATATTTATTAGTATTACATTTTTTTCAATGAAAAAATATTTATAAGAAAGATAATTCTTGCTAACAGATGTATTCTTTTCTTAAAACTATATACAACATTGTGATATTCTGACTTAGGAAGCAGCGCTTTATTATGTTTTCTGATATGAATTTAATAGATATGATACTATGTTCTCTAGTGAAGAAAAAATTAAAGGAAGCAATTTCTAAACAATATATACCGTGGAAGATTAAAATAACAACTGATACAGACTCACATGTACATTCATTTTTATTAATTTTCCACCCAAATTGCGCCTTCTCGACGCATTTAACTCTCTTGAAAGTACAAAAGCTCCCCTTTCAGCCCCCTTCGATTTATTATCATTACTTTAAACAATATTTTGTTCAGATTAATCTGAATTGTCATTAATTTATTATCATTGAATATAAGTCCCCCTTTTTTCGTGTATATTTTTTTTCTCTCGATTTAGTATGGAAATTTTCATTTAAAGACCGATTACCCTCCCTACCTCTTCAATTTTTATTGCAGTACGGTCAAACTCACTGTCATAAAAAATGTAGAAAGGAGAGATGTTTCCTACACGTACCCCCCCCCCCCACCCCCCGAAATAGGATTGTTCAGTTTGTTAAGAACTTTATTTTTCTATTTGCCTTTAGTTTCGGAGACTTTTCTGTTTGCTTGTCCATTATTTTCTGGCTGCACCCCTCTTCCTCCTGTAAAAAATGGTATACTTCCTGTCTGAACACATTTTCAAGAGGAGAATGAATAACAGCACTTGACAATAATGCATACTAGTATGTGTGAAGAGCAAATTCTCTATTTTTGCAAATTAACCAACTTATGTCCATGATTTTTACTTATTTCTTTCGTGTATTAGTTAATTTTAGGTTTGATTATTTTGCGGTTGTTGGAGCGTAATTTCGTTGAGGCACAAAACTCAAATGTTGATAAAGGTACAATAAATAATTTTTTTTTTTAAAAAAACAGACCCCCCCCCCCCAAAAAAAAAAAAAAAAATTATATGAATAAAAATAGTTATAATGCAATACGAACCTAAGCCCATTTAGGACCTATAAAGATTTTTTTTTCTGAATTCGTTATAACAAATTTTGAAATTCGTTTAAACGAATTTAATCTGTTATAACAATTTTTTGAATTTCTTATAACGAATATAAATCTGCCATAGAAAAATTTGTTGAATTCGTTATGTCAATTAAATGAAAAAAAAAACTTGTAACGAATTAAATTCGTTAAATGGAGTTCGACATTTAAGGTATATAGAAAAATAAATATTTATGAATTCGATATATCGAATTTTAGAATTCGATCTGTTATGACAAATTTTTAACTTCTGCATTGGTATAATTGGCTGGCCTTTATCAAAATTATGAAATTCATGTCCTCTGACTGGAGCCCAGATGATCATAAATTGAAAATTTGCATATACTCTTTGTTACTAGACATCTTGCACACGGGCTTTTGGCATAACTACAGTGTCAGTGTATACATTTGTAATGAATTATTGGTTATATCATATACCCAAATTGTGAAATTCATGCCTATGGGTCCAGAATTTAGGCCTCGGGAAAGGAATGTTTGTCGTATATTGACAATGTATAAAACCATTGAAAATTGTTGAATTGAACAACGAGCTTACTGGAGAAGATTTGTTCAAGAGTCATTGACATTAGAACAGAACCATCTTCTGATGTCTGCATGGTAATCCAGTATGACTGAAAATCTAATATTAGGCGACTGCCAATTCAGTTTTTAGATTCGAACTCTGGAATGTCACGTGGCAACCTGTGTATATTGCATAACAAGCCCGTAGGCAGCAAACTCAGTGGGGGGGGGGGGGGCACAGCCATAGATTTTCAGTTGACAGTTGAGGGGGCACTACCAGAAATTTCCTGACAAGCAAAAAAAAGGTTATCAACTACCAAAAATTCCTTGACAAGAAAAAAAAGGCTTATAAGTGGGTCTATGGCAAATTCCTCCAAAATAATCTGAAAAAATAACCAACGGACTTATAAGCGAAAAGACTTGTAAGAAAGTATATACAGTAACACATGAAAATGAAGGCAAGCAGGTTCTCCAAAATAAATCGTCTAAGTAAATGTACTGTCTATTAGAAAAAAAAACCAAGACCTTTGTGATCATACACTATAAATGTATTTATAAACATTGTATAATACAAAGATACAACTAATCAAACAAAGCCATGACCTCTATTTTATAATAAATAGGGCTTTTAAAATGGACCCTCCCATTTAATTGCATAAATGTACATACATGTATTAAAACAGATTTTGTTTTGTGGTATGACTGAAAGCAGGGGGATTACAAAAACAATATAATACAGCAAACTGCACAAAAGTAAGGTTTAACAATGGCACTGTATCAGTTCAGTATCTTCATGGTAAGGTATAAATAGGAAGCAAAACACACACATTGTCAACGAGAGAGGGTCACACATACACTTCTCAGCGGGCACTAATCAGACGACATATTTACAGTCTTTACAAACTGCTAGTCCCTTGCGTAAAATCAATACACATGTGCAATATCATTCAACAGATTTCTTTTATATAACTTCTGAAAAAAACTCAAATATGATGTACAGTGAAGAATTTTTTAGGCAAAATAAAACACAATAACAATGGATGTGAATAAAAGCATAATGAATGATCATGTTTTGTACTTAATCCTAATAAATGTGCCTTTATACAGTTAATTATAAATCACTAAAACATTTTATTCAATTCATAAGCACAACTTCTGTGATCTAAGACCTGTGTATTGCAAATAATGGTCATTTAATGTTTAAGCTTATCTTGATAATATGAAAGGAAGATATTTTATGGTTTTTGATAAATACATATCCACATCTGATCTAGTCTACATACATATACAGTATTCCAATGCAGATTGTTTTTATGCAATGAATAATGAACACATGACAACTCTATTCAACCCCTCTCCCCTTTTTAATGAGTATACATGTATATGTATAAACAGATACTTTGCTTCTTTAACAAACATGATTGCTACCTTTAAAATATTTACAACAGCGGTTTATGGACATTGTAGATGCACTTCCAAATACAAAAACAAGAGGTATTGTGAGCACTGAGCTCACAAAATGATACCACCTGCTCCCATATGTGTCCATTTCTTGCAATGGGAATCTCCAAATATCTTTCCGATCAGAACATACAATAAGAGGTGCACAATGGCACTATCTAATAAAAATTTGGTTAAAGCTTCATCAAATTGCATTCATTGGTGAAAGATGGCTACTCCAAAGTATGGATGTACAGATGAAAGGATACCCCCAATGTTATATTGGGTATCTCCCCTTTTCAAAAGACTAATTGCCTTATACTTGTCTTTTAATCCAATAAACTATATTTTACTATGGAAGCATTTTGTTTCTTTTTAACTGGGCAATAACAAATCTCTCTCTCTCTCTCTCTCTCCCTCTCTCTCTCTCTCACCCATAGTTTTAAAAACTTATGATTAATAATTGATGCAATAAACCGGTATTCTGACAGAAGCAATGATTCAAAATCAAGAAGATGATGAGTTCCTTCCCTTTTATAATCTCTAAGCTGAACCCTGCTTTTTTAATAGTGAGCTTTGTGTCTTTGATTGCTTCAGAAAGTTATCCACCAGGAAGTTGAATTCTCTGTGGTAACGAATGTGAAGGTTATGTTTCCCCTCTGGTAACATGTACAATCTATAAAAATACATACAATAGTATAATAAGGAAAGTATATACTTAAAAACCTTGGGGAAAAAATATATAAAAAAAAAATATACATGTACGCTACATATAAAAGAGTGTTTGAAAAGTGATTCTCATTTATTTGTTTCATATCTTTTACATTTATATAGGTCACTCTGCTCTGAGGCAGTTACTATCCATTCTTTATCTGATTAATAAGATGTGTGTTATTCTGATGTGAATAGAAGGTGGGTATTGGGGAGATCATTCTAACCTACTTGCCTTAATCTTTTATATGTTATGATGAAGGTAATCTGGATATTCTACCTACCTTGATCCTTTGATGTTATGATGAAGATAGTCTGGACATCCTTCCTACCTACCTTGATCCTTTGATGTTATTAAGGTAGTCTGGACATCCTTCCTACCTTGATCCTATGATGTTATTAAGGTAGTCTGGACATTCTTCCTACCTACCTTGATCCTTTGATGTTATTAAGGTAGTCTGGACATCCTTCCTACCTTGATCCTATGATGTTATTAAGGTAGTCTGGACATTCTTCCTACCTACCTTGATCCTTTGATGTTATTAAGGTAGTCTGGACATCCTTCCTACCTACCTTGATCCTTTGATGTTATTAAGGTAGTCTGGGCATCCTTCCTACCTACCTTGATCCTTTGATGTTATTAAGGTAGTCGGGACATTCTTCCTACCTACCTTGATCCTTTGATGTTATTAAGGTAGTCTGGACATTCTTCCTACCTACCTTGATCCTTTGATGTTATTAAGGTAGTCTGGACATCCTTCCTACCTTGATCCTATGATGTTATGATGAAGGTAATCTGGATATTCGTCCTACCTACCTTGATCCTTTGATGTTATGATGAAGGTAATCTGGACATTCTTCCTACCTACCTTGATCCTTTGATGTTATGATGAAGATAATCTGGATAATCCTTCCTACCTACCTTGATCCTTTGATGTTATGATGAAGGTAATCTGGATGTTCCAATGGTACAAGAGGGTCTTTGATTCCATGTATAATAAGAGTCCTTGCTCTTATTCTTTTTAAATCATCTTTACAAATATTTCCTGGAAAATAACAACACTTGATTGGAAAATAGGACAAGAATTTCCTCTTACCATATTTTAAGGTACTGTAGATCACAGAATTTTTGTGACACCTTATTTTCTTGAGATAGTTATTTGACATTTTATTACCTAAATAAATTTTCACGAATTTTTGTAATTTTTGTATATCTTGAACAATGCAAATACATACAAAGATAATATTTTCATTTGTAGGGAATCTCGTGTAATTATGCTAAAACAGAGTTCTTGCAAATAAAAAGTGATTTACAGTAACATTGTCTATGTTATGATTTAGGAACAATGATAATAAGACCCAACTGGACTTGAAGGTCACTTGAATATCAGGAAAATTCTCTAGGAATTAGCCAATTCTTATATTATATATAAATTGTTTCTCTGACAGAAAAAATAAATCCAAAAAACTGCACTTAATATAAATTGTCCATGATCTTGTTAAAATGACCTTGCACACTTTTTATCGTGAATGAAATTAAAATTATACCTGCATTTTCTGTAGAAAATGGCACATCGCTAGTGACCTTAACTGTGTATTAGTCAGCTATTCTTTTGTATTACATGACAATTACTTGGTGCTAAAATTTATTCCTGTGTACAGTTTGCGCATTGTTTTGATGCTGTATTTCGCTAGAGTTGATGCCATCACCCATCTGAAAATTAGTTCCCATCAGATTTTTTTTGGGGGGGGGGGGGGGGGGGTTAATTGTGTCATTATGAGAAGCACCATGGAACCTTTGTAAAAAAATTTGTAAATTCATCTGTAAAACAACTTTTCTGGCCCCATGATTGTAGAGAGATTGTACAAATGAACCCCCCATTTCAATTTCTTATTCATCTCCTCCAGGATAGAGCAATCATTTCAATGAACCTAATTTCCTCAACCGTCAATGATTTATGGCAAGTTTAGCATCAACACCTGGTCAAGAGATCAAAATTTAAAAATCTAACAAAAGCACACGGCAAAAATAAAAAAGATTACAGATGATGGTCAGTCTAAGATTAAAAATGCTCACTTTGGAATGAAGGTGCAGAAATCATCCCTCTGCTCACTCATATAAATTCTTTCCTTAATGCTTCTGATTATCCAAAAGAAATCTGATTTATAGTTAATTGCAAGGCATAATTTGACAGAAATGACCTGTTACCTTGACAATTTTAAAAAGGAATAATATTGGTAGTCATTTATACCAGGTAGAGTTATCTCTCTTATCAAAGGAATGATGAACCTTAAAATCATACAAAAGACCCTAGTACTATCATTTCATCATAGGATGTTAGTATAAGCTGCACAAAATTTAGTTTCTTACCATTTCTCTTGTCAAAATATGCCTGGTAAGCATCGACCCAGTTGGACCATTGCTCACGAAAATATTTCTCTCCATACAGAGCCATGAACGGAGCTCGCATGCCTTCACTCCAGGTATTAATGTCACGAATACCTGAAAATCACTCAAAATCTAAAGTCAACACAGCAAGGAGGAACATAATCACAATTGTAAAGAAGCATCACTGGTCTAATGAAGAAGTGCTTTACAATATCAAACCACTTTACCATTAAAGATGAGCATGTCCTGCTCTGTGATATAGGCATTGGCACCCCAGATGACGAGGTTTTTCACGAGGGCACTATTCTGTGCAGCCAGAATCATCCCTGTAATTCCCCCATCACTCCAGCCCATCACTGATACTGCCTTTAGTCCTAGTTTCTACAACAGCAACACATTTAGTAACTTATTAATGTACAGGATATACAGTCTACTTGGTAAGCTAAGAGGCTCTCTTTATCCCCCATTGTAGACAGCTAAACATTTAACTGCATTCAGTCTTATTAGGTCTTCCGTTTTCAACGGAAGACCTATAGTGATTCTACTGTTTCTTCTTCTTATTATTTTTCATTTTTATTTTTTTGACCTTTTCAAATCACAATATCTCAAAAACTGCCCATTTATTTTCAGCCAAATTTTCAGGAATAATGTGTTATCTCATGCCATTTTGAAATATTGAAAAAGTTCGGAAAAATTTACTTCCGGTCGGGAATTATTACGATTTTTCACTTTTTCCACTAAAAATCTAGTCCATGAATGTTCTCAGAAACTGTTAAAGGTAGGAGTCTGAAACTTTCAGGTATGATAGAATTTGGTTTGTAGATGTGTGATGGAAACATTTCGTGTGTTGTCGTCACTTCCGGTCGTCACAGGAAGTGATTTAAAAAGGGTAATTTTTTAAAACTTTTTTGTTTTTCATTATTTTTTTATGATGTTGATAGGCTAAATAAAGAGTCTTACAAGAATGCTAAATATGTAGTTTGTTTAAAAATCGATTAACACATACTCTAAATATTTACCATTTTTCAATTTTAAGCGATGGTGTTTGATAGCGTAATGGTTAGCATCTTGAATTTTCACGTGGGCGATCGGGATTCAATGCAAAGAATATCCGAATTTTTTTCTCACTTTTTGGGGCTCAAATATAAGATTTTATCTTTAAAGAGGAGGGGGGGGGCTATGTCGTTCGACGTCAGAGCAGCGGTGTTTGACGACACAATATCAGCGTGTCTTTTTACTCCCTCATAAAGAGTTTGCAGTTGAATTTTGCACTAATTAATGTGCATAGATGCAATTGTGATATGACAAAACGAGGAAAACATGTTGGTACAAATGTATATGTAGCTAGATACCTATGCAATTGTATCATAAATTGGAGAGTTGCCGAATTGTATTTTGAAAGTAGAATTTGTTACTTTCTCATGTTGATTAAATAACATATAGCAATTTCAAATGAGAGAAAAATAAACTTTAATGATATTTTTCTTTGATTTTAGTAGGGCAATATTCCTTTATAGATGCAAGTTACTGAGCATAATAGGTATCAGATTCCTTGAGCGTCATATATGGCGAGACGTGTTTTGTTGCGAAACATTCCAATCTTTTCATTAATGTGTTACTAATTGGAATAATCCACTTTGGGGGTAAACAGGAATATAAAATGTGTAAGAAAACTTAGCGCTGCATTTATGTTACTTGTCCGTATACGGTATGTTATATGTAGTGTGATAAATATACATTCCTAGTCTAGAAAATCAGGCTATAGCAACATATTTTTGCTAAAAATTTCATTGAAGCTATCACGTACACTTATTCAATTGAAAACACATTCCAAAGAAAAGGCGTGAAGATTTACTCGTGACGTTTGGCGCGAAATAATTATCTTGACCCGCCTTTCACAAATGGTCTGATGCAGATGTGTAGAAGTACAGAAAAAGATTACACGGACATGTCTGAATTTGGAATTGCATAGAATAAGAAGTTGAATGCATAAAGAATAAAGGAAGTAAACACAATAGTTTTTTTTTTTTTAGTTTTTATCAGTAACAGATTATTTTCTCTGCTATCAGTTATTGTTAAAACTCAAGTAACAAATCTGATGTAAATCTATTAGTACTTGCACAAAATTTAGCTGGCTAGTTTTCATCCTATAATTCCACACTATAAGAAAAAAAGATTAACCTGCTTGACACTCGTTACTTCAGGGAATGAGTGCAAGGTAAACATCGGTGATGGCTGGTACATTGCGCTAGTGTAGTGGTTTCAATATTAAAGAACAAGGTTTACTTAGGGCCTTTTTTGGCCCTGTGAATTTCAGAAAAACTGAAACTGCTTGGTTTTAGTTGACAATGCATTAAATATCATTTAGACCTTTGATGACTGCGTATCTATCAAAACTGACGTAATGTTCTGGCTAGCCAATGCATTATGATGTCATGATATGCGTCATTTTCCTCATATCCTGAAAAATTCTACAAAACAGCCAATTTTTTAAAGCTATTTTTCGATATTTAATATAGAACCTAACCTCTGATCTTAAATATGCAACTATTAAATGATAGAACTATTTCTGAGGATTACAAAACCTGTTTTATTTTTTAGATCAGAGGGTGCGCTCATATTATTTCTCCTCTGGAAAAGTACTCAAATACACTTGTTTTCTTAAAAATTCAAGAACATTGCAATTCCATGAAGCCTGTTTTCCAAGACCTTGGCTTTGAGGAGCAACTTTTTAATAAGAAATGAAAGCACTAAGTCTCTACTTTATCTTGATGTTTAAAATGGAACATAAAGTGTTAGTCAATAAATTGGTATATCTACAGGGCCATTTTATGCATAAATGAACCTAGCTCTTTTCGGGCAGCCAATCTTGGTTTAATTCCGACTATATCTGAATTTTTTGCTTAAATTTACGTTTTCATCTTTATCAATGATGTTGAACTTTTTTTTTCTCTTTGTGAATTTTGTGCTCTTTTTTTAATATATAAAAAATCTTGTTAGAGACCCATGTCAAATTTTAAGGTGTCTTTACAACGAGCAGATATAAATGTAATTTTACGTGCAAAGAATATCACAGTTAAGGATGGTTATTCGGACGGAAGACCTCTCGTTGCTAGCAACGAGTATCTAGTTACTATTTATTATTGTTCTTTTATCACGTTTACTTCTTTAGACAGTGAATATAGCTCATAGGATATCATTTTTCATATTGAGTTATCCACGGTTGTTATGTCACAATGGGTTTTGTGTAAATTTGATCAAGTCAAATACTGTTGACTTACATATACAAAACAGTGTAAAACATGTAATAGCTTTGTGTAAAACATGTGATAAAAAGAATCTCCCATGGTTTGTGATTTAGATATATTTTTTTATCCAACTTGTAATTGGCTCATTGTGTGTTTTTATCCCCTCGCCAAGGCTCGGGGATAAAAACGTACAACCCCTTGGATAAATAGAGGATATTCAATGTTTTGTAGTTGGATATGGAATTCAATGCCATATCCAACTACAAAACATTGAATTTTCTGTTTATTACATTTTCTTTTTCTCTTTGCCTCTGTCTTTTCTTAACACAGTGTCAGAGGCTGTGATATCATAATTGAGCAGTTGAGACGTCATAGCTTAGCAGTTGTGAGATTGAAAAAACATTGTAACATGGATTTTAGCAACATATTTAGGAAGAAATTGGCAGTTTTAGCTCTATCAAGTTGGGCCAAACAAAAAAAATATGTGTGGTTCCGGTTACACTTCCAAAAAAATTAGGGAAGGTAGGTAGGGATTTTTTTTTTTTTTTTTTTTTAACAAAATGATTTTCTTAATTTTTTCTAAATAATACCTATCACTGCTTTGCAAATGGCATTTAGATGTGGTGTGATAATATACTAGTCAATATTGGTAGGGGACACCTACATGCTAGCTTGCTTTGGATTTAACACTATTAAACACTTGCACTATGTTTTGCAAGGAGGCCGTCATTGCTGAAACTAAAACTTAAACTGGATCCATTGATGGAAATCGGGGGAAATTCCGGAAAAAATATGAAAATTGCCCAAAAAAAAGTTTAGGGTCGGGGGTATAAAATAGGGAAGGTCGGGTAACCGGAACCACACATATTTTTTTATTTGGCCTTGGTTTAGTTACTGCATTCATCTCTGTCTTAAGACAGGCCAAAAATTATTTTTTACTGACTTTGATATCCTTTCATACTGTGACAGAATATCACTTTTGTATCCTTTCACACTGTGAGAGAATATCACTTTTATTCAATAAATAAATCACAGTATTTCACTGTTGAAAATGTAACAAAACATCCTATCTAACCACAATCCATAGGAGATCATATATTTCTGTTCTGATGAACTTACCATACATAGCCCATTAGCATCATCAGCATCCCGCTGTAAGAACTCCAATGGCCATGTCCTCTGGGGAGGAATACTTTTACCGTACCCCCGAGGATCAAATGCTATCAGGGTGTAGTCCTTCTTATTGAAGTCTGACAGCTGTTTAGAAAAGTCTGTCCTGGTAGATCCTGAAATAGTCAATAATTCAACAAAAAATAAATTTAGTTAATTTAAATTCATTAAATAAGATTTATTATGTGTGCTATATAAATCTATACTGAAAAAGTCTAACATTTCCAATGTTTTACTGAGCGACCTACCAAAAATATTGATTTAGACCACAGAGCGAGATATGGACCTGTCGATGAGAATCAGCTATATCTTATTTGCAGCGGACCCCTAAAACAAAACTGTTTGCTTTTGGCCTAACGGCCTCTGGCAAACAGTTTGGTTTTTGGGTCCAACAAAATGTGTGATGCCCTTGAATCCAGTCAATAAATGTATATTATTAAATCCTGGAATAAGCACATCTAATTGTTTAGCAATAAATGGAGAGTTGTCTTTCTTATCAAGCTAACAGAGCATGATAAGCAACTAAACATGCTGATGGAATTTAGGAATGCTAGCCTGTTACATCTTTTGTGCGAAGTACCAAACACAGTTAAAGGGAGGTTATCTGTTTGAGACTGAATCTCTTTTAACTGTTTTCCTTCTTTAATTTGACACCTGGCAAATTAACCTTGTTGGAGTCTAAAGGTCTCCATGGGGGGAAAGGGGGGGGGTGTCAGGAAAACAGACGCTCATGGGCCACAACATTCACCTGAGTCTTAGTCGTTCTCTTTATGACAAGTTAATATGTACACACAGATGAAACAGCTTGATGTAAATAAAGCAGGTGTTGACTTCACTGCTCCTTATCTCCTAAAACTTTTAGCTAGTGTCACTGGTAAATCAGTCACTCTGGTATTTTCCCATCAAAGTTGAAACAAGCAAAAGTCACCCCTGTATATAAAAGGATAACAAAGCAGACCCTGGTATTGAACTACTGTCCCATTTCTATACTACCAACATTATCCAAACTAATTGAAAAGCACATAGCAATGAGATTTTACCTCAACCTTTGACCTCATTAAAAAATCTCAGTCAGCACTCACTAAACTAACGGATGCTTGGTTGCAAGGCATGCTATGGATCAAGGTAATCTCATAGACATATCATTTTTGAATTTCAGCAAAGCTTTTGATTTAATCAATCATGACATTCCTGTAGAGAAATGGAAGAAACTGATTCATTGGTCTCACTCATATTTGAATGACAGGACCCAATGTTTTAAACTTGGCACATATTCTTCTGATGTCTTACCTGTCACATCAGGTGTACAGGCTACAGGAGACAATTCTGTAGATCCCTTAATTTACGCAAGGAATTAATTATCACGTAATTTCGCGAGAAACACCACTGGCAAAATAAAATTACTCGCTTTTATTTCCATGCAAAATCCCTTGATCAACCGTCCACTCACGAATTATTGTCTCACGATTTGATGTTTAAGAGCCATTTTGTGATAATAAGTACCCGGCGCGAAAAAATAAGGAATCTACAGTATTAGGTCCCTTGCTGTTTTTCTTATATATCAATAACTTTCCATAACCTGTCAGTCATTCAAATATTGATATGTTTGCTGATGATGCCACTTTGTATTTTGTACCAATAATATGTGTATATTGATATTGATATGTTTGCTGATGATACCACTTTGTATTTTGTACCAATAATATGTGTATATTGATATGTTTGCTGATGATGCCACTTTGTATTTTGTACCAATAATATGTGTATTGATATTGATATGTTTGCTGATGATGCCACTTTGTATTTTGTACCAATAATATGTGTATTGATATTGATATGTTTGCTGATGATGCCACTTTGTATTTTTGTACCAATAATATGTGTATTGATAATGATATGTTTGCTGATGATGCCACTTTGTATTTTTGTACCAATAATATGTGTATATTGATAATGATATGTTTGCTAATGATGCCACTTTGTATTTTGTACCAATAATATGTGTATACTGATATGTTTGCTGATGATACCACTTTGTATTTTGTACCAATAATATGTGTACATTGATATGTTTGCTGATGATGCCACTTTGTATTTTGTACCAATAATATGTGTATTGATATTGATATGTTTGCTGATGATACCACTTTGTATTTTGTACCAATAATATGTGTATTGATATTGATATGTTTGCTGATGATGCCACTTTGTATTTTGTACCAATAATATGTGTATATTGATATGTTTGCTGATGATACCACTTTGTATTTTGTACCAATAATATGTGTATTGATATTGATATGTTTGCTGATGATGCCACTTTGTATTTTGTACCAATAATATGTGTATATTGATATGTTTGCTGATGATACCACTTTGTATTTTGTACCAATAATATGTGTATTGATATTGATATGTTTGCTGATGATGCCACTTTGTATTTTGTACCAATAATATGTGTATTGATATTGATATGTTTGCTGATGATACCACTTTGTATTTTGTACCAATAATATGTGTATATTGATATGTTTGCTGATGATGCCACTATGTATTTTGTACCAATAATATGTGTACTGATATTGATATGTTTGCTGATGATGCCACTTTGTATTTCGTACCAATAATATGTGCATATTGATATGTTTGCTGATGATGCCACTTTGTATTTTGTACCAATAATATGTGTATATTGATATGTTTGCTGATGATGCCACTTTGTATTTTGTACCAATAATATGTGTATAATGATATGTTTGCTGATGATACCACTTTGTATTTTGTACCAATAATATGTGTATAATGATATGTTTGCTGATGATACCACTTTGTATTTTGTACCAATAATATGTGTATATTGATATGTTTGCTGATGATGCCACTTTGTATTTTGTACCAATAATATGTGTATATTGATATGTTTGCTGATGATGCCACTTTGTATTTTGTACCAATAATATGTGTATTGATATTGATATGTTTGCTGATGATGCCACTTTGTATTTTGTACCAATAATATGTGTATATTGATATGTTTGCTGATGATACCACTTTGTATTTTGTACCAATAATATGTGTATAATGATATGTTTGCTGATGATGCCACTTTGTATTTTGTACCAATAATATGTGTATTGATATTGATATGTTTGCTGATGATGCCACTTTGTATTTTGTACCAATAATATGTGTATATTGATATGTTTGCTGATGATGCCACTATGTATTTTGTACCAATAATATGTGTACTGATATTGATATGTTTGCTGATGATGCCACTTTGTATTTTGTACCAATAATATGTGTATATTGATATGTTTGCTGATGATACCACTTTGTATTTTGTACCAATAATATGTGTATATTGATATGTTTGCTGATGATACCACTTTGTATTTTGTACCAATAATATGTGTATAATGATATGTTTGCTGATGATACCACTTTGTATTTTGTACCAATAATATGTGTATATTGATATGTTTGCTGATGATGCCACTTTGTATTTTGTACCAATAATATGTGTATATTGATATGTTTGCTGATGATGCCACTTTGTATTTTGTACCAATAATATGTGTATTGATATTGATATGTTTGCTGATGATGCCACTTTGTATTTTGTACCAATAATATGTGTATATTGATATGTTTGCTGATGATACCACTTTGTATTTTGTACCAATAATATGTGTATAATGATATGTTTGCTGATGATGCCACTTTGTATTTTGTACCAATAATATGTGTATTGATATTGATATGTTTGCTGATGATGCCACTTTGTATTTTGTACCAATAATATGTGTATATTGATATGTTTGCTGATGATGCCACTATGTATTTTGTACCAATAATATGTGTACTGATATTGATATGTTTGCTGATGATGCCACTTTGTATTTTGTACCAATAATATGTGTATATTGATATGTTTGCTGATGATACCACTTTGTATTTTGTACCAATAATATGTGTATATTGATATGTTTGCTGATGATACCACTTTGTATTTTGTACCAATAATATGTGTATAATGATATGTTTGCTGATGATACCACTTTGTATTTTGTACCAATAATATGTGTATTGATAATGATATGTTTGCTGATGATGCCACTTTGTATTTTGTACCAATAATATGTGTATTGATAATGATATGTTTGCTGATGATGCCACTTTGTATTTTGTACCAATAATATGTGTATTGATATTGATATGTTTGCTGATGATGCCACTTTGTATTTTGTACCAATAATATGTGTATTGATAATGATATGTTTGCTGATGATGCCACTTTGTATTTTGTACCAATAATATGTGTATTGATATTGATATGTTTGCTGATGATGCCACTTTGTATTTTGTACCAATAATATGTGTATATTGATATGTTTGCTGATGATACCACTTTGTATTTTGTACCAATAATATGTGTATATTGATATGTTTGCTGATGATACCACTTTGTATTTTGTACCAATAATATGTGTATAATGATATGTTTGCTGATGATACCACTTTGTATTTTGTACCAATAATATGTGTATTGATATTGATATGTTTGCTGATGATGCCACTTTGTATTTTGTACCAATAATATGTGTATAATGATATGTTTGCTGATGATGCCATTTTGTATTTTGTACCAATAATATGTGTATTGATATTGATATGTTTGCTGATGATGCCACTTTGTATTTTGTACCAATAATATGTGTATTGATATTGATATGTTTGCTGATGATGCCACTTTGTATTTGTACCAATAATATGTGTATATTGATATGTTTGCTGATGATACCACTTTGTATTTTGTACCAATAATATGTGTATATTGATATGTTTGCTGATGATACCACTTTGTATTTTGTACCAATAATATGTGTATAATGATATGTTTGCTGATGATACCACTTTGTATTTTGTACCAATAATATGTGTATTGATAATGATATGTTTGCTGATGATGCCACTTTGTATTTTGTACCAATAATATGTGTATATTGATATGTTTGCTGATGATGCCACTTTGTATTTTGTACCAATAATATGTGTATTGATAATGATATGTTTGCTGATGATACCACTTTGTATTTTGTACCAATAATATGTGTATATTGATATGTTTGCTGATGATGCCACTTTGTATTTTGTACCAATAATATGTGTATTGATATTGATATGTTTGCTGATGATACCACTTTGTATTTTGTACCAATAATATGTGTATATTGATATGTTTGCTGATGATGCCACTTTGTATTTTGTACCAATAATATGTGTATTGATATTGATATGTTTGCTGATGATACCACTTTGTATTTTGTACCAATAATATGTGTATATTGATATGTTTGCTGATGATACCACTTTGTATTTTGTACCAATAATATGTGTATTGATAATGATATGTTTGCTGATGATGCCACTTTGTATTTTGTACCAATAATATGTGTATATTGATATGTTTGCTGATGATACCACTTTGTATTTTGTACCAATAATATGTGTATAATGATATGTTTGCTGATGATACCACTTTGTATTTTGTACCAATAATATGTGTATAATGATATGTTTGCTGATGATGCCACTTTGTATTTTGTACCAATAATATGTGTATTGATATTGATATGTTTGCTGATGATGCCACTTTGTATTTTGTACCAATAATATGTGTATTGATAATGATATGTTTGCTGATGATGCCACTTTGTATTTTGTACCAATAATATGTGTATTGAAGCAGCTGTAAATCTGTAGCTCGCTGGTCTGAAAAATTTAGATGGACGACCAGAGAGCTACAGTGCCATCCATTGAAAAAAGTGCATATCTATTGTACACAAAAAAGTGTGCTGTTCCTTGGTTTATTTCTTATATATTTATTATTATACCACGTATTCCTCACATATTTACTACTTCCAAAACAAAACTGTATGTACAAGTCATGCACAAGGCGCATTGGACAGAATTGTCTTACCAACCAAAATGGCAGTATAAATAGAAATTTTGAATGGTCTCAATTTCAGGCCCAGGAGGGCTAATAACAATGGTTTTGGGAATGTTTTGTTGTGGAAGTAGTAAATGAATATGAAAGAACACACATTAGTTATATTTTGAGAAGGTGGCTTAAATACCCGGTATATGGAAAAATAGAGAAACAGCACATTTTTGTGTGTGCAATAAATACACACTTTTTTCAATGGGTGGTACTGTAGCTCCCTAGTCATCCATCCCTATTTTTTCAGACCAGCAAGCTACAGATCTGCAGCTACTCTAAATTTTGATTTAGAAAATATTGAAAAAAGGTAATTAGTAAAGCAAATCTTTTTAAAAGTTAATAAAATAAAATATTTTCTTATGTGAACACAGCAAAGAAAATCAAAATTAAACAATCTAATGCTGGGTTTGCATGTTTCAAATAAACAACTTGAAAATGTTGAAACTGAAAAACTAGTCAAACTTCATTATCTATAACTCAGTTGGACCAAGAAAAAATGTCGAGATATCCAAGGATTCAAGATATCCATGTAGGGTAAAATACTTAAAGAATAAGGAGTTGGACTTCTATTTTATCACTTTGACATATCCACGGTTTTCAAGACATCAGTGTTTGGGATACCGTAGTACAACTGTTCTAGGAGTTTGTATGGATCAGTCACAAAATTTTAATACCCATGTAGATCAGTTTGTAAATCTTAAACGTAGAAATTATTTACCTTAGGTAATATCAAGAAAATTCTTTCTCTGAAAACTGTTTTACAATGCTTTTATACTGGGTTAAAGCACCAAGTAGTTAAGGGAGAGAATTTATAAGCTCCAAGATCTTGTCACTAGAACAATACTTGATGGGGCCCTCTATGTTCCCTCAAAGCCATTATTTGAAAAGAACGAGACTGGCACATATCATGGAAAATGCCAGCAAAGCAATTGCTATTCACAACGCCATGTTCACTGAATAACATGTATTCGATTTTCTTAAATCAATTAATTAACACACTAAATATCACAAGTGCAAGAGTCATATTTGCCTTACTGAGAGCTCTTGTTAACAAATGTCACATGTGTGTGAATCATCTGGACTTACCTAGAATTCCTGTTAACAAATATACACACTAATTGTCACATGTGAGAATGAACTTTAATTTAACGTATGCAAGGCCAAGAGCTCCTGGTTATATACTCCCACTAGAGTCACATGGATTTAACCAAAACCTTCCTTTAACAAATACATGTACATGTACTAAATGTCATATGAGTAATAGTCATAATGAACTTTCGAAGAACTCTTGGTAACAAATACCAATACACACACTAAATGTCACATATGTACAAGATTCCTTTAAACTTACCAAGAGCTCCTGGTAACAAATACTAGTACACACACTGTTACATATGTACAAGACTCCTTTAAACTTACCAACAGCTCCTGGTAACAAATACTAGTACACACACTGTTACATATGTACAAGATTCCTTTAAACTTACCAACAGCTCCTGGTAACAAATACTAGTACACACACTGTTACATTATGTACAAGATTCCTTTAAACTTACCAACAGCTCCTGGTAACAAATACTAGTACACACACTGTTACATATGTACAAGATTCCTTTAAACTTACCAACAGCTCCTGGTAACAAATACTAGTACACACACTGTCACATACGTACAAAACTCCTTTAAACTTACCAACAGCTCCTGGTAACAAATACTAGTACACACACTAAATGTCACATATGTACAAGACTCCTTTAAACTTACCAAGAGCTCCTGGTAACAATAGAATAGTGTGTGGTCCATTTCCACTTGTTTCAAAATGAATTCGTGCTCCATTCACTGTAATTTTGTGTGATAAAATCCCACTGAATATAAAACGAATCAAATTTATGGGAAAATATTATATACTTAATACAATTGTGCATTTTTTTGCATGAAATTATTAAAGTTTCCCTAGAATAAGAAAGTACTGAAAAGGTTAAAAAGCAAAAAGCTCAATAATAAGTAGTCTCTGTTAGGCAGAATATCAGTTTTTTTTTTTCAGAAATCACAAAATTGAAGCTGCAATCATTCTCAGAACGACTTTACAGGTCCCCAGAGAAACATGCTAAAATATAGTATCACCATAGGTGACTTCAATATATATGAGATTGCATGAGCGATCAAAAAAGATAAAAAGTACAAAGTTTTTGGTCTATTTTTACCACAAAATCGAATTCCATGGTTAAAAGTTAAGTTTAAAACTTTGTTTTTAAATGAAGTTTTAAACCTCGTTCTCTGAAAAAAATTAATAAATATTGTTTATTCATTGAAAAATCGACAAAAAATAATTGTCAACAAAGCAGGTGCGGCACATGCTTTTTGCTTGTTTCTTTCATACTTAGCCATTTTTTTCATGTACCGGGTAGACAAACCAATGAGATGCCATTGAAGCTGAATTAAGATCTTGCAAAAAATACAGAAGCAACTGAATTTTTTAATTTATCTAAAAGAACGAGTCACTAGCCCTCTCTAGGATATGCTAGGACTAACCCGAATCTCCCAGACATATGCTAAACTAACCCTAATCAGTCGAATACTTGTGTAAGGACTAACCCTAATCTCTTAGATTGGTGCATGACTAACCCTTACAAGTCGAGTAGTGTGCAAGAGTTAGGTATCAGTTGAGTGACGTAAATCTTACACATAGTGCAACGAGCACATGGATCTGGAGACAGGTAAAGTAAAGTCTACCCATCATCCTCCTTGAAATTATGAACATCCTTACACTGCTGATAAATCATGTTCTTTGCTTTAGGGAAAAAAAAAACACAATGAAAGAAGAGAAAACATTTTTATTAGGGCTGAAACAATTCACTGAAATATCGATATTGTTCAATATTACTGCTCGGTTCAATGTTCAATTCACTATCTCAAGTCGGTTCGGTACGTGTTTTTATGATTAGGTTTGGTTACTCCTTGAAATAGATCGGGTTCAACCTCATTTTAATAGTTTGACACACGAGGGAGAAAACTGGACCTCGAAAATTGTGACGGAGAAAGTTTCAGAGCAGACTGCCACTGCTAGTATTGACACGAAGTGTTCTTTTAATCTACAGAAGCACAAGTAGTGCGACTTTATTGTATCAGGGCCTGGGAAGGGGCCGGGCTGCGCCATATCCGCATACTGTCGAAAAATGGCGCAATGAAATAATGGTGTGCTGCGCCATGCGGCGTGCCCCACAAAATGCGGGCACGCACATTTTATTACTTTGTAAGCTCATCGCAGTCGGTGCTATCGGTATTCTTCATCGAAGTTAGATGGAATCTGTGATTATCATATAATAAAATCAGAACCATCATTCGGCATTTTGACATCCACTGGCAAAGAAACATGGTTTTCTTTCCATGTGGTTCGTAAGTGTCAAGTTGTTTTCGACAGTTGATCACAGCTTTACAAAAGTCACGCACATGGAAAATATACCTTACAATGTAAAACCTTACCACCGAAGTCTACTTATATTGGTCTGTCCCGTGATCTCTAAATCGGCATAGTTAAAAAATTGTGCTTTTGGTTTAAATATAATTTTTCTAGACACAAGTTGATTAGAATCTAGATGACGAATGATTGAAGTTCTTAGAAATGGAAAAATCATTTCCACTAGTCAATGTCATATGACTTGTCAATTCCTATCGCATTTTTCTTTTTTATTTTCCTAAATTTTGCTGTCAGAGATATATGCATTATCATATAGCATCATACTTTGATATATTTTAGAATGGCCCCAATATTTTTCCCCTCGGCCCCTTAAATTTCAAAATGGCCCCATCATTTTATGAACGGTGGGGCCATTGGCCCCACCTGTTGCTTGACCTTCCAAGGCACTGTTGTATCACCACCTTTTACTTGCCTTTTGAAATCTGAATGCATGTTTTCTTTAACCTTATGATTTGTTTCTTTTAGGCCAAAAAAAATAATAGTCTTGTTTCCTGCTACCCGACCTACCCTATTTTTTTTGCACCCGACCCTAAAGTTTTTTTTTAAGTTTTGGAAGAAAAAAAATCGGGAATTTCCAAAATTTCATCATTCTGTCACCGTAATCGGTTTTCGTGTTAACACAAAACAAGCATTTCATGAAATTCTTGTTTTAAATGTGAACTTTCATATAATACCACTTGAGTTTTGCATAAGAAGACATGAAATTTAATTTTAAAAGACAATATTGACTTGTGACATGTTTAATTTTATCTTGTATTAGTTCATATCCAAAAAATGCTGTCGGAAAAAAATAAAATAAAAATATAAAATAAAATAAATTTTCCTACCTACCTACCCTATTTTTTTCTGGCTGGTATCAGGAAACGAGATTATTATTTTTTTTGGCCTTATAAAACGTATCGTATTGAAAAAATTGAATTGTGACACAAGTACCGCGATACGTACCGTATCGTGGAGGGGGCGTATTGTTTCAGCCCTAATTTCTATAACTCAGATATATGAGTAAGTCTATATCAATGCAGTTACCTCCGCCTCTGTTCATCAAAGAACATTGTATTCCCCTGTCGAATAAGTGAATAAATCCTGTCAAAATAAAAACCAGTAAATTAAAATTTTATACAATATACCTATAAGCCTGTGCCCTTAACGAGATGTAAATTGTTAATTATTGTCATTAATATAATTTCATTAACTGTCGAGAAGATTTAGATCTATAGATATATTTAGCAACATGCAATGAAATATTGACATTCAGTGTTCATTATACGAAATCTACTGACCTAGGGTCTCCAGCATCCGAATGCATGTGCTTTGTCTGATGTTGTAGATGATTTCTGGAGTTAATACACACCCTGGAGAGTAAGGATCTAGAGTAAAATATACAAGACATGTTTGTTTTAGCAGCTTTACACAAAAATAACAGTCATAAAATCTGACAAACTTTACGAAATGTAATCCCGAACCCGATGTTTTGAATAGGCCACTTTAGGTTACTGTGACAAAATGTGGTTTAATTAACTTTTTTGTGATTGACAGTGTAAATAAACTGAAATTGTCATTGATAAATGTTTAAACAACCTTCCTCCGCAAAAAATCATTTTGGCATGTATCTACGTATCAAGAATTTTTTTTAATTACCAAAAAACACAGGTGCTTTGGGACAGGACCCCCCCCCCCGATATAGACCCCCTGGCCGTTTCGACTGTTTTCTCATAATTATTAACTATATATATATAGATTTATATATATATATATATATATATATATATAGAGAGAGAGAGAGAGAGAGAGAGAGAGAGAGAGAGAGTAGAAATTTTTATAAAATGTTTGTTTTATAGGTAATTTTTAAAATTGATGATATGGAATATATCACAAATATGGCATTGATTAATTTATGAGAAAAAAGTCGAACGGCCCGGGGTCTATATCTGGGATGGGGGTGGGATCCTGTCATCAAGCACCTGTGGTCAAAAACATTTTGGTTTTAGGTATTTATTAAACATTTTTAACAGGGTGTGTTTGACATTTTTCTGCCGGTAACTTTGAACGTTTCTAAATGACCTTTGATCAGGGTTCTAACACAACCCTAGCTTATAAGAATTTTTCTGTCAAGTATGAGCATTTGAAAGATGTATCTCCATTACAGGATATGGCCAGGTAGAAAATGTGTACATTTTCTAAAATTGGTGTGTAACATGTTAACATATATACCGTCATTTGAATGAATAGAGGGTATTCAATGTTTTGTAGTTGGATATAGATTTTTTTTTTCAAGAGTGAACAGGATTTTTTTTTTTTCATATTTTCAAGAGTGCGAAGCTTTATACATGTATATAACTTGTCTGAAATGTCGATCTACTCTATCACATCTCTAGAAATTAGCAAGGCAGTACAGAATAGAATAGAATAGAATTTATTTGCCAATCATGGTCCCACTGGGGGCATAACATAGATACAAGCATAATTTGTAACACTCAAGAGGACAAGAAAATACATGAACATACAGCAATACAGAACATAAAAATACTAGATGTTGAGTCTAAGCAAAAATAGAGTTGATGAGCAATTTGAATTATCTCCCTTACACCAGGAAGCCATATATGGCATTACAATTGAGTCCCTAAACTACAAAAGATTTCAAGGGACAGTGCTCTAGATTATACATGTCTCAGAAGTGTAACTGCCTGGACAGCATTCCTCCTTATAACTTATGTAGAACAGTAATTCAATAATGTATGTATCACATAAAATTGAGAAAATGTACATAATCGAAAAATTTAAACAAATTTTACCACGGTGGGTGTATAAATGTAAATAGATTACAGAACAGAACAGAACAGAACAGAACATTTATTTTCTAATTTAGAGCCCATAACAGACAAGTATGAAATTATTACAATAATAAAGAAAAGATATGCCAATGGATAGTATAACAACTTGTAAATGACATTACTCATTTCAACAATAATATTGTACTATTTCAGTTAAAGGGAATACTATATATAAAACTGTATGACTACTACAACATGTTATCATTTATGAATTTGCCCACAGAATTAAGAGTTTCTTTGTCTTCAGTATTGAGTAACCAAAAAAGTTTTTGTTCATCATCTAATGCCGAGAAATTGGGAAATTTACTTTTAATTGATTGAAAAATTTCTTTTCTTTGATGATCATATTTTTTACATGTTATGAGAAAATGAGTTTCATCATCTACACTGTTAGAGTTACATCTATTGCATAATCGATCTTCACGAGGGATGTTGGTAAATCTTCCCACTTCAATTTGCAATCTGTGACAAGAAATTCTTAATTTACATAGAGATTTTCTGTGATGAAAATTTTTAACTACTGATAAATAATTCTCATAACCCCAATTTTGTTTGAGTTTTACATATGTGCTTAATTTACCATCAGTATAACTTTGTTGACTTGTATACCAATTTTTTATATAATAATCTAATATGGTTTAATGACAGAGTGACTTAAATTTATGCTTCCCATAACAAATTACTTCATCTTTGATATTCAGTATATTTCTTAATTTCTGTACAAATGCGAACCATGAGTTCTTTCCATGTACATAAAGATTTTTACTACATTCATATGCATCTTTAAGTAAAGGAAATTCTGTGGACAAATTTTCAAATCTATACCAACTTTTGATTAACAATTTGACAATATCATAATGCAGGGGGAACCTTCCCAATTCAGACAATACTGCAAAATTTGTACTTTTCTTATGAACACCAAGAATATATTTACAGAATTTAAGGTGTATTCTTTCACAAAGTAGATTTCTGAAACAGTCTTCAACTTCTAACTTTTGGCATTTTAGGAATCTTTTAGTATTGATATTACTTGCACCCCACACCTCTGCATTATACAAAAGAATTGGTTTAATAGTAGAGTCAAATACATGTATACTCGTTTTAATCCCAGGATTCAAATTAATAAAATCATTTCTCAGTTTATAATATGCTTTTAACGCCTTTTTATAAAGCTCTGATCTTGCTACATGAAAACTTCCAGATGCAGTTAGGTGAACTCCAAGATATTTGTACCTAGATACACAGTCTATCCTATTATTTTGAAACATTAGTTTTTGCGTGAAATTACGACCAGCTTTATTAAAGATCATGACTTTAGTTTTTTGAATGTTTACCTTTAAACACCAATCAGAGCAATACTTTTCAAGTTTAGAAAGTCTTGCTTGTATACCTTGAGCTGATGCTGATAAAATAACAATGTCATCTGCATACATTAAACAGTTAACAGTTTTTGTCTGAAGTGATACTTCATCAATACATGAATCTAAATATGATGGAAAATCATTTATAAATATTTTAAATAAAGAAGGGCTCAAGTTATCCCCTTGACGGACACCTATAGCTATTGGAAATGGATCCGAGAAGAACCTTCCAATTTTCACACATGCCTGACTATTCTTATATATATTACTTATAATATTATAAAATTTAGATCCAACATTCATGTGAAGTAATTTGAGCTTTAATCCTGTGTGGATAACACTGTCAAAAGCTTTATGAAAGTCAATAAAACAAGCATATAGTCTTCCTTCTTTTAAGCTACAGTATTTATCAATTAAACACCTTAGCACAAATAGATGATCAGATGTTCTTGCATCTTTGGTAAAACCCATTTGAGATTGGTGAATTAGCTTATGTTCTTTAAGAAATTTATCTAATCTAGAGTTCAGAATGCTGTTGAATAACTTGCCAAGTGTGCTGGTAATTGTAATACCCCTATAATTTGCAGGGTTGTTTGGATCCTCAGACTTAAAAATTGGACTTATGTACCCGTTACTCCAAGTTTGAGGATAAATACCATATGTGAAACAACTATTAAAGAGCTTATGTATACAGGAGAGTAAATAGGACTGACTATGTTTTAACATTTCATTAGATATCAAATCAAGCCCCTTGGCTTTTCCATATTTTAAATTTGCTATTGCATCTACAATTTCCTTATGTGAAATCTTGAAATCCAGTTCATTAAAGGATGGATTTTTCTCCATGTCAGCCAAAATTGAATCTAGCTCTTGTATCCTTGATTTAAAAGAGTTATCACAAACAGAATGAAGGTTGCGAAAATGATTTACCCACGTTTCAGAATCTATGTTTGCAGCAGAATTGTCTTTATTATTATCTTTTAGGTCATTAATTAATTTCCAATATTGTTTTTGGCTGTTTACAAGATAAAGGTGTAGTAATGGTTGCCAGTCTACAGAAGACATCAAGGGACGGTGCTCAAGGAAATGCATGAATTTTAGTCAGTTAAAAAAAACAAAAAAAAAAAAAAAACAAAACAAAAACAAAAAAAAAACCATGAATAAAAGGTTGCATTCCTCCTCATGTCTAATGTAGATAAGCAAAATGAGCACAATTATAATTAACAAAATGTAGCAATATACAGTAATATTGTTTAAAAATCATATACAGTGTTTTGATATGAATTGACTTAGTATTCTTAAGATTGACTCATTTTCATTTGAAAATAACCATATAAGCTTCTCATTAAAATCAAGATTAGGGAAATTGGTACATAATTCTGAGACAGATTTTAAGAAAATTTCTCGTTCATCTTTGAATTTAGTGCATTTGAAGAGAAAATGTATTTCATCCTCCACCTCATTCAAATCACATTTAGAACATAATCGCATGTGTGTTGGGATACCCTGGAACCTTCCAACTATCATTTGTAAATGATTTGAAGATATTCTAAATCTAGTCAGGCATCTCCTCAACTCAAAATTCTTAATGATATTAAGATAATTTTCGAAACCAAATTGATCTTTAATTTTAACATAAGTACGTAGTTTACCATCCATATAACTGCCCAAATTGTCATGCCATAATTTTATGTAAGTTTTCTTCAGAATTTTGTGTATTGTATATTTACTAACTTTTTTCCAGTTGTTTAAACATCCCTTCAGTTCTGGTATATTTTCTAGAATAGTGTGTAGTGATCTGTACCAAGAGGATCTATTAACGGAATATAGTTTCTTAGAATGTTTATATGCATTTCTAAGTAAAGGAAATTCTCTATCATTTTCTTCCAATCTTTCAAGTCTTTGCCAGTACCTAACCATGCTTTACAAGTTCCCTATGTACACAACAGCTAGATAGACAGACAAGATGAAAGCTCTCCTATAACCTATAACTTTGCCATATATAAAGTCTTTTTTTTGTATGATTCAAAAGATAAAAGGAAAGTTAAAGTTTATGACAGAACTGAATGACAAAGACAGTAAATCTATGACAGAAAGAAAGGTTTTCAGACAGGATAAAAAAAAGCCCCCCCCCCCTCCCCCGACCTTCTATCTCGGGGTTTGAAACGGAAATAGATAAAATTTTCATTTCAAGAATGTATTTCTACTTTCAATAAAATCATCTGTCTGTG